TAGGTGGTTGGGGTCCGTGGGTCAAGAGGAACCGGTGGTTGGAGACTCTAGGTGATATGGCTAATAACCGATGTCAGTGGTGCAGATGTATACACACATTATCCTCATGTTAACTACACTATACCGAATTTCACCATTTTGTCACTCCTCTTTCCTTTCTTCTCTTGCTTTATATTTCTTTTGACTGCATTCACTTATCTTCGTCCTTCACCTCACTACCTTTCTACTTGCTGTACTGATATGAGGTGTGGCAACTTGGACAGTTACGCAGTAATGCCTGGTCCTATGATGATATTAATTGATTGATTCGCCGTTGAAGTCACTCTTCTCCACACTTACGAGAATTATTACATCTTGGATATTATCTCAATACTATGCATTTGATTTAATTCACAGTCATCTCACCTACAGTAATCCAAATGAAGTGTTGTAAACATTCACAATTAAAGGTGATGGTTATCTAGATGAAATTTATGTGTATAGTTTCAACATAGTAAATTTGATGACTAAAATATCCTGACCCATGGGTGTAAATTGCTTGAACTTTTCTTTATCAGTAGGCGGTAGAACGAGTGATTGCGTAACTTATGCTCTTTGGACTATTAAGACTTGAATATGTTCAGAAATACGGAGGGAAAACCTTTTTCTGTGTGTTCTTCCAATGTATCTGCTTTGCACATACATGCAAATTAGCAGATATAGTTTTAGGTAACAACAGTTTGGAACTCGTCGACTTTGGATTGTTTCACTTATCACAAACTAAAACGTTGGATAAGTCTGTCTTTAGGACAGCACTCAGTAGATGTTTTTTATCCATGTGTTTGAGGACACCCTGCCAAATACATGCATACTAATCCTGCTATTATTGCTCTTCTAGATTTATTCTAATTCATTAAAGAAAAGAATTGTGTCAATAGCTGCTCATTTGACTTTTATCGTAACCACTAAGATGAAATCGAAAAAGAATCCATTATCCCGTGAGTAAACCTCGCCTGGTTAACTAGTTAACTAGTTACTAGCCAGTCCTAAGCCCGAGTAAAGAGGGAAGGTTCGGCATAGGGCTAGCAACCCTACCTCTTAAAACCAATCCAACCGCTAAAGAAACTTCAAAACACAGACAAAATATAAAAAATAAAAATAAACTTATTCCTCGCTGGAATTAGGGAGACGAAATGACGCCGGTTAATGAAAGCCTTCGGGGAGCCAATCGGCCGATGTGTCCCCTCTCGATGAAAGCGAAAGTAAACGTGGGGACATGGAGTGCCCGCACCATATATGAACCTGGCAGGGCTCCCCAGATTTCCAAAGAGATGAGAAGATATAGCATAGAAGTGGCAGGCTAAGGATCTGCAAAGGCAGATGGAATGGAAGTGGACTCTCCAAACTGTCAACTGGTGAGTCAGTAATCTACTCCGGCCACCCAGACAACAACCATGAGCACACTGATGGAGTGGCTATCATGATGTCCCAAACAGCATCGAAAACTCTCTTTCATACAGTGGGAACCAGTCTCCTCCAGGATCATGACAGCAAGATGGATTCAACTCAAAAGGAAGGAAGGTCACAATCATACAGTGCTATACATCTACAAATAATGCAGAAGAGAAGAAGGAGGAATTCTACAGACAACTGCAATCAACACTGGACAAGGCCCCACTTCAGTTGGTAACATCAAAATTCTAATGGGCGACATGAATCCCAAACTCCCAAGAACCTATGGCTCAACAAATATGCAGAAGGAAGTGAAGATGGATTTGGCATGCACCGAGAAGACCATTTGGGGACATCATGCACCAGACCAGGCCAGCTCGTCAAGTGGAACCCAGATGGGAAACAGCAAGTTGGGCGTCCCGGCTGAGAGTGATATAGAGGAGATCGTGTGAGGAAGAAATGTTGATTTTACGAGTAGAGAACTTTTAATGAATCAACACAGTACTAAGAACTGAGTTATACTCTGATGAGATGTGAATACACTTGACGTTTTTAAGATGTATAGTCTACGAACTATTTCAAGGTGAAGTTATCCATTACACAAGTATTCTGCTATCTTGTTTAACTCCAGGAAAATTGAATAGTACTATCTGGAGGTTTACTAATTGATTTTAGGTTGGGATTCATCATGGACTGACATAGGTTGGAGGAACATTAGAAACCTGAGAGCACTGGACAGGTGTTTCGTCCCAGTATGGGATTCTTCAGCAGTGCACGCCCACTATCTTGACGAGGATTGGACCCGCGACCTCCAAGTTCCATAGCCAGCAGGTTACCATTGAGTTATTGAGTCGGGATCCAATGGTCCATATTTCCTACCTCTGTCTGTTCACGATATGGCGCAACCTCTATCCAATGCCGTTGTTGGGTAACTGTCCTCATGTTCGACTTGGCTGACCCCATGGGTTACGACTTCTCATTAGAACTTCAAGCAAATCACCAATTAAGGCTGGAGTAATTCAATTTTTGAGATTTTGTGAGCGCTTATTTATTAATTTCAGGTTAGTATTTGCCATAGAACATTCGAAACCTGGGAGCACTGGATAATTGTTTCGTCCGAGTATGGGACTCCCTAGCAGTGCGCACCCACGACCCCAACAAGGATCGAACTCGTGATCTTCAGTTTCCATGACCGGCATGTGACCGTTGGGCCACTGCGTCAGAATCCAATTTTCTACATTTCCTATATCTTTCAGCACGAAACAGCTGTCCAGCACTTCAAGGTTTCTATTATTCCTGCAACTGAAGTCAGCCCATGATGAATTGGAAGGATTCGATTTCAGCTTGTGGTAATGTAGTCAACTGGGTTAGAAATATGTAAAATGCGTACTATGACAATTAGGTACATAAGTAAACACGAACTTGCTGTGGAAACGACTGTAAACGCATTATTTGATATGAAACGCAAAGAGAGACTGTTATCACTTACCTCATGACGTTTCAGATACAGTTTTCTTGTCCATAACCATATCAACATAAAATTATCAGTCAGTAATTATGATAATCAGTTTAATTATATAAGATAGTCATGGTATGACAGACTTGTATTATTTATCATCACCGTCAAGATCAGTACAGGACTAAGCATTACTTACTAGCGGTCTAAGTTGCCATACCTCATGTCATTGCGTGAAGTAGCAAAGCAATAAAATGGAAGATGCAGAATGGAAGAAAAGTGGGTCAGAGGGAGTAGAAGTGGGAAAGAGTAAACGAGAGGAAGGAAGAATGAGAAAATGGCGAGATTCGGTATAGCGGTTAAGATAAGGATAATGTGTGTATCCATCTGCACCAGTGATATCTATTCTGAGCCACATCACCTAGAGTCAGTCTCCAGCCACTGGTTTCTCTTATCCTGTGAACCCCAACTAACTAGTCTGCATCACCAAACATGGCTAAATGAAAGAGCCCTGAGCCTTGTTCCAGTCTGAACATGATTTAGCTAACATTAAGCGACGAGGCAGAAAGTGGTCAAGCAAACGTAACTAATGTCCCAGCCATCTCAGTCTATGAAGATTCATAGCTTATATTACGAAGGAAGTGGTGTTAAGACACCTGAAGTCTTCTCATGTCTTCTACCTTTAATGCCCATGTTTCACAGCCATAGAGTTGGACAGAGTGGACTGCAGCATAGTAAACTCGGCCCTTAATAGATAATCGGTTAAAGTGGCTGCGCCAGATGGCATGAGTTGGCAGAAGTCAACTGAGCCTTTTGTATCCGTGTAAAGATTTCGTCTGCTACTGAGCCACTATAGGTGATGAGACTTTCTAGGTAAGTGAAGTGTGCTTAACGCACTTTTATTTACGTTATTGATACCAGGTGAGGTGAAAATTTAGGTAGATGCAGAATCTAAATCAGTGGCCTCTAGGTTACCAGTTTGGTACTGTGGATGATCAGTAGATGGGACTCGTAGCTCAGCTGGTAGAGCACTAGGCCAGCAACTTCGAGGTTAATGGTTCAGGTCTTACAGCAGTCAAGATTTTCATCTCACCTTCAGGGATCATTCGATATCGAATGTACCATTGTGTAATGAGGACAAATCTAGTATGAAATAGTACTATGCCACAATGCCTAACCAAAAATATATATGAGATCCAATTCTTTTACATGCAACAGTTTTATTTTGAGTAGTTTGACTCTGGAACTGTTGCTCTTTAGATAGCTTAGTTACTCAAAGATTTAAAATATTCAAAGTATTTTTGGGATATCAATTTCCTTTCAAAATTTACTCACTCATGTGTCAACCAATCTCCTTTGTAATGTTGTGTCTATACTGTACACATGGTTTACAATATATCGATAACAGGCATTGAATAATCCACGCGTTTTCCATGATTTACCGTGTCTTTTACAGCCTGCCGGAAAGGAGCACATCGTCTATCTATAGGCAAAGCTATAGGTATCAAGACAATAAAACTTGATCTACGTGTTCACAAGAGATATGTGTGGCAAAATCTACAAGTCAGCCTGAGTGCTTTTTAACTATTCAAGTTGTTCAGCAGTACTTACATTTTACTGGGTCGTCATGATACTTTTATGTCAGAGATGTAGATCTCTTTGTGATCTCAGCTAAATGATTTTCAACGGAAATCATGTTTACACTACAGTTGATGAGCAACATAATTTGGTGGCCACATTGCAAAATGATCGATAGAATATGGTCAGCATTTAGAACTAGGCAATACGTGATTGGTTGCTCTCTAGTGGCCAATCAGCATGGTTTTTCACTTTAGCTACATCTACCATAACGTCTTGTATGTTATACATTCATTAACAGTAATGCCCATCAATGTTCTTATATTCTTTAATTTATATAAATGACCAGATATTCAACTGAAATGAATTTGAAATCATATTCTCAAAGACCATAGGTTTGATGGTGTGTTTGTAACTGTTATCAAAGAAACTTATTTACAGAGAAAACGGTCAACTTCCTATCATATTTTGAATAAATTAGAATAATAATCACATTTATGACACAAATTGTGTTGAAAACTATGAATTAACTCACCATCAGGACCTGGTTCTCCTGTTGGTCCAGGATCACCATCTTCTCCTTGTATTCCGTCATCACCAACCTGGCCGATTTTGCCTTCTGCTCCTTCAGGGCCTGGATCCCCAAACAAACCAGCTTCATTGCATTCTGCAGCCTCCCCAATCAAACCTTTTTCTCCATCAACACCCATTAAACCAGTTTCACCTTGTGGACCTTGGTCACCTGGCTCCATATTTGTGCTAGGTTCTCCTTTTGGACCAGTTGGACCCTGGGGTCCTCTATCTCCCTTCTCTCCAGAAATACCAGGTTCACCTTGTCTACCAGCTTGAAATGAAAATATGTAAATTAAGTCAACTTTTATGTTGATTAGTAATGGAGTCTACTAGTTAGCATAAAGGTTCTACTTTTTTTAGGACATACCTTCAGCTCCAGGTTCCCCTTTGTCACCAGGAACGCCTGGATCTCCTTCTTCACCTTCAGGTCCGGATTCACCAGGAGGACCAGTCTCACCTCTAGGAAGTTCCGGTGAATCACCAGGATCACCCATATCACCTTCTTCTCCTGAAAAATAAACGTTAAATAAAGAATTATGTTCTTCTTTGTTCTCCAAATGTTATTTCATCCAAAAACACAAATCCATAAGATTTACGTAATATACCTGAGTATACACTTTTCCAACTGGCTCATAGTAGATAGATTAGATTCCTTTAAACTTGAATGTTTAAAAAACCCACAAACTACATTCATTGTTCAATTGTAATCAGGCGCAGTAAGTTGGATGAAGTTTAACTTTTTCTCAAACTTGTTTCAAACAATGAAAGAAAAATGTAGCTGAAACTGGATTTTTGCTGTTATTTAGTTCAAAACCGATTCTTTAATCATGGTTACAATACTTTTTACGTGAAGCAGTTGGCAATAGATTAGAATCAGTGTTATTGATAAAGTTGATAAGAATAGTTACCTTTGTATCCTTTCGGACCTTGAAGACCTTGTTCACCAATATCACCTTCTTCGCCGTCGATAGTTAATCCAGGATCTCCTTGTAGACCTTGAGGGCCTTCAATACCTAAAACAAAACAATATTTAGTTTATTTCGAGGTTTAGTATCTAAACTTTCAACTTAAAGGATGTTTTTAAATAAAACAAACATAGATGCCTTACCAGGTAACCCTTGTTCTCCTTTTTCACCATCAAGACCTGGAGGACCAGTATCACCACGTTCAGATGGTGCTGCTGTTTGGCCTATTTCACCCTTTCGTCCATCTATGCCTCGAGAACCTTTTTCACCAACAACACCATCATCACCTTTCTCTCCACGATCACCAATTAAATCTGTATTTGAACCAATTAATTAGAAAAGAATAATAAATTTATTATTCTGATTACAAGAAATAGTCATTTATTCTCTGAAATATTTAAGATTAGATTAAAAATTTAGTCTATGGTGATGCATAGGTGAAGTCAGTTATGACCAAAGTGGACCTATGTCTCCATTGTGAAATGTGAAGTATAGTTTGTTTGATAGATCCATAGTATGATATCATAACTATTTGTATAAGCACCTTTTCTATCCGATAGTCATTGTTTCCTATCTTACCGCTTAGAGGGTCAAATTTTAACAGTGATCAGATAATCAAGGGCTATGACCGGAAATGCCATCTAGCAGTCTATGAGCGATACGAACCTGACGCGTAACCGAATCTACTCTCATCACTAATCCGAATGTCAACCAACACAATACCACCGACACGCTAACACAAGAAGAGAAGACAGACTGTTGACAGAGAGAAGTTGCTGTCTCAACTACAGTTAAAGTATTTCAGAGTTATGCTGAATATATGCATTACAGACGACCTTGACAAACACTAACAACCAATGAGAGTTCAGCCTTCTGAAGCAGTGGGAGAAATGAAAGCTACCTATCACGTTAGGATGACGCAAAAACCGCAATGACAAAGTTATTTCAAGGTTATAGGTTATAGACGGGCCAATCAAAGTGTAATTTATGTTATCACATCTATAGTTAAACAGACAGACGATGGGTCAGCCAATCAACAGTATCATTTCAAACGCCGAACTATTCATATATTAGACACATTTTCACTTGTTCTGGTCTTCAGTCTTTAGACCTCAATACATCTTCCTACAAGTCCATTGTGTCTTCTTCACTAATAAGTCGTATCAGGAATCAATTAGGAATTTGCTGAACGTTTGTGGCTGACAGTCGATATCCGTGCATCGTTAGCGGCCATAGTGGTATTCGAATCATAACATCGTAATATGGGACACCTCAGCAGTGCGTACTCATGACTGCACTGATCGGACCCAAGATCTTCAGGTTCCGCGATGAGCACGTTACCATTGTGTCTCTTGACCGCGTGTCTTATCAAGCAGGGTTAGGAAATGACTACATATCAGTAATCTATTCGGATAATGTAGTTTTGTATACATTTGTTGTGGGAATTCAAAAATGCTTTGAATAACTCAAGGTCAATTAGAATTTTCTAGTTATCATTACATAGTAGACACGTTTAATAAAATATTCGTGCTTAACTTACCAGATTCATTTTGAGCTACTATTTGCCTCCAATCAATTGTACAATTTGTCATCACTCCAGCTATTCCTTTTTCACCCTTTTGTCCTGTTAATCCTTCATCGCCTCTTTCACCCAATTGACCAACTAAGCCTTTAACATCTTCACCAATGTCACCCACTTCACCATCTTCACCATCATCTCCAACTTCACCAATTGGTCCCTGTTCACCATCTACACCCTATTGAAAAGAAAATCAATAAATATGTATTTCTTCCTCCCAAAATGATTCCCTTTTTAAGATAATGAATTCTTTAGGAGTGGGATTTCACTGATTTTGCTGAAAACCTAATGTTACTTAAATTGTTCAATACACACACGGTGAATGGCACCAAGCTCACTCTTGTCAATCTGCTGATAACAGTAAGGTCATTCAAGTATGAGATGACACTGAAACTATCGGAAATGAAACCTGAACTTTTACCATTGCCATCCAATAAAATTTCAAGAAGTCAAGGTGACATGACAATGAAGGTTAAGACCTCACTAGCACCTTGGTAACTATCTAACTGAATCGTTTGTTATCTTATAAGTACAGGAAATAAACCTGTTGTCATGGTTCCATCTTTAATGAGATATAATTGATAAGTCAGTTCAGTTGGAATGGTTATGTGAACGACTGAAACAATCAATCAGATTTCTTTATTTTAGTTGGAAAGGCACATTTCCATAAAGTGGTGAATTCTAATTCACTATTTCGCTTGCTGTTGAGGTATGGCCTGTAAAGTCACTTGATTAGAGTAACTTTAAAGGTCAATCTAGCAACGGCTGAGATAACCAATCATTTTTCTTCATTCTAAGAATAACTACCTTCCCAGCCGAAATGCCGAAAGCTGATTGGGTGTTTCAGCAGTTGCTGGCATACCCTTTAAAGTCGTTTGTAGATTACAATGGGTTTAGTGGTTAGGGCATTGTGACTAAAAACGAGGTTATTCATCAGCTAACAAACGTACTTTATCATTTTAGAAGCTGTTAGGATGGCTTTTATAGTTTTTTTAACAGTAGTGTTAAATGCATCTATTCTAGGTGCTAAACATTAGTTCTTTTAGGTATATGTATCCGTTGCTATCATTTCCTGTGAAATTTCATTGATGGATGTTGCATGACGATTACAAGCCTAAGTGAAAGAGATTGACTTTCATAAGTTTCAATATTATTCCCCACCGTACAACCACACTTTCTAGGTGGGACAGTGATGTGAAACTATTCTTTTCTAATACTCATTCATTCAATGGAAACAACAGGCCCTTGCATTTCCTGAATAACTGATCACTGGAGAGCAACAAAGTTTCATCTTGCATATTCTTGATTCTTGATCAAATTCTGTCGGTTAATTTGCGATATGGCCACCAAGTTGTGAGACTCAGCATCCTGGTCCACTCTGATGAATGCCTATTGGTTGAAGGCGATAGGCAGTGAGTTCGGCTCAGTATAAGTTTCTTGCTTGTTAGCACTCATCATTAAGAAAGATCTATAACCCTGAGAAGAACTGATGACGCTTGGGAAATTTGAGCCCACATCATCCAGTAATCGCACCAAGTATATTTATGTTACACTCAGTGAAAAGTCAAATAATCCTATCATTAAGACCATTTTTAAACTAATTTAGGTCACAAAACTTTGGTATGCTAGTACGTCCTTCGAAATCCAATATCCTGGGAAGTAAGTTCTTGTGTAGATCAAAATATTTTGGATAATATTTAGAAGGCATAAACTGTAAACTCTTTCAGAAAACCATGTGGACAAACCAGTTCAAAGAAGACGGATTGTAATCAACCTGTTTAGAAAAAGAACTACATGTTTCACTTACTGCCTGTCCCTTTGGACCTTCATCACCATCAGGACCAGGTTCACCGTCGTCACCTCGTTCACCAATATCACCCACACTACCTTCATGACCTTCATCGCCTTCATCTCCAGGAATAATACTTTCGACAACTCGAGACACGATAGCAGATTCTCCAACATCTCCTGGATCCCCGTCGAAACCATCATCACCGATACGACCCTAAAATGTTAATGGATAAACTATCATAAAAATGAAAAGGTCAAGCTCTTGACAGAACTAAGATTTCATCTATGCTCATAATTTCCATAACGTTTATATTCTTGATATATAATTTGTGATTAGAGAACGCTTGTGAAGACAAATATTTTGAATCCTGGATTATATTGATGCTGTTGATTGTATTATCCAGTTGTTCAGTGGGCCGAATTGAAAGATCTGTACTAGCATATGGGCTCCTTTGAGGATTCTTCGATATTGACTGTGTTTCAACTATATATTCATAGTGGATAGTGGCTAGCATTGGAATCCAGGACGCGGGCTTCGTTCTATTTGGGACTCGTTGGCTGGATGTACCTGCCTCCCGGTGAGAGGTGTAGATAACTCTTTGTCGTTTGAAGCAATCGGTTTCGAGTCAGAGTCCTAGCGGGTACAACATCACTCACTAAGAGGAGGCAGGTACATCCAGCTGACGAGTCCCAAACAGGGCGAAACGGCGTCCTGGAATCCACTACAAGTCACTACTCATCAATAACATATACCTAGAGCATATTGTTTGACTATATGACCTTTATTTTAGCAACTAAATACTACCAAGATATTCCCTTACCTTTCAGAAAACTGTGCACTTGTAAGGCTGATTTGGAGCGAGAGCAGATAGATATGATGATAGTTAATATGTTAGGCATTAGAACGGAAGATATTCTGATACTGTCTGTATTTTTACTACAGAACAACTTGAGTAGTTAGAAACCATTCAGACTGATATTTGGACTCCGCTAGGCAGATCAAAATGATATCATCACCGGACGGACGGTCTATGTAAGTCAGCTAGCCAGATTCAGGTAACCTGAACAACTCAGCTCTATGAGCTGAATTTTCTCATGTACGCAGCTGATGAGCTCCGCCTCAAACTAACGAAACGACCTTCCGGTGTTTCTATCACACTGATATAGCTACGAAAATCGAAAGACCAGCCTGAGTAGTTGTCAACTATACAAGTTGATCAGTAATAGTAAATTTCACCAGTTCATGACACTTTGGTTAGTGTCAGAGATTACATCCAAACATAACACTCAAAGGAATTAAAAATGAGTGGCAGAAACTGATCAAATTGGAGTAATATTCAGTAATCATCGAAAGCTCAAGTCATTCAGTAAATGTTAATAAAGTCGGTCAGAAAGGGTGTTTAGCTATTGTCGTGGTGGTAGGTCGAAAACACTTTCAAGATACTGACATTATAGTAGTTGACAGTTAGTGAAACTATGCTCCTTTCAGTATCATTCATGCATGAAGGACTGTGGTAAGATTCGAAGTAGCAAACTTCAATCAGAGTGGAATTGTAATAGAACACAATTCCATTTTAGTTTCATAGAGTAGACCGAGGTGATGAAGATACCCAACCAACACCACAACCATCAACAACAATAACAACATCCAATCATCATCAATGCGAGAAACTAAAACAAAGTAGTCTCCTTCAAGTATCTAGGCAAGGCAGCATCGTTTCAAATACAGCCAGTCGTGGCGGCACAGACGAGGAAGTCAAAGCAACCGGAATCAGAAAGACTGCCAGACTGGCCTTCCTTCATTAACCTGAAACCAGTGTGGAGATCTTCTGCTCTCAGGACAAAGCGTGAACAACGTTCGAGTTTTCAACACTAATTGAGTCAAGTCAGTGCTGATATATGGTTCAGAGACTTGATGGCGCGTTACGAAGGGGATTTCCAACAAACTACAGATATTCATCAACAAGTGCCTATACTGACTCGTTACTTGAGCTCAGATGGATTGCCAGAATAATAAGCATAAACACCAAGGAACTCTGGCTGGCTGGCTGGCAACGAACCAACCAACAACCTATCACTCAACAAATATACAGGAGGAAGTGGAGATGGATTGGATTGGATTGGATATGCACTGAGAAGACCGACTGGGGACATCTCGCACCATGCCAGGTCAGGGTGTCAAGTGGAACCCGCATGGGAAACGGTGAGTTGGGCGTTCGAGGTGAGGGTGACATGGAGGAGATGGTGTGAGGAATAAATGAGAGGTTGTGGGCAGTGGTGGAGTCAGGTTGAAAAGATTGCAGAGAAGAGAGTGTAATGGAGACGTGCTAGTTAGGCCGTATGTTCCACTAGGAAGGAACCCAAGGGACAAATAATAATAAGAGTGGTTGAATTATGCGCCATAAATTGTACTCTTAAACGTTATATGTTTAAGTAACACTTTGCTTGTTTTTTTACCGAACTCCTTACTTTATGAATCACATGCCTTACTGATAGGTAATATGAATCTTATATGCAAATAAGTTCTAAACTTTTTATGATTAATTAGTCTGTCTTGGGTACTATACAGTAATTTTGACAGAGGGAAAGAAATATCTTCATATAACTTAGCATATGTTATACAGCCAAAGGTTAGTCAAGTGTAGTAAGATAAAATGTTACACTTTATAAAACTGTACTGTATAAATAAACAGAAATTTCAGTATACATTGTTTTCTTTGTTTTACTGTGTGTGTATATGCGCAGGCGGGTTAAGAGATGATTCACTGGGATCAATGAATTCACTAAATACCTTCGAATACATCTTTAAGGTTTCTTGTTATCTCTCTTCTCTTTTTATCAAATACAAAAGTTTATTTGTAATATCTCATCTGGTTGTCAGTCCGTGTGACACGCTTTGAAGTGCGACATCTACTTACATAAACAAAAGGGAAGTGTAAACAACCTATGAAAATGGCTAACTTAAAAGATGAAGTTGTTTCTGATGTAAACAGTATTTCGAAGTAGTATTCATCATGGATTGACATCAGTTGGGGAATCATTGAAAATCTGAGAGCACTGGATAGCTGTTTCGTCCAAGTATACGACTCCTCAGCAGTATGCACCCACGACCCCACCGAGCAAGGATCGAACTCAGCACCTTCACGGCGAACGCGTTAACCATTCAGCCACTGAGACACTTCTCAGTGGTTCACAATTTCCAACTTTATTAACTCACGACACAGCGTGACTGTAAACAGTATTACTTTCTTTAATGTAATGTTATTGTAGAATATTTTCTTACACAGAACCCAAAACTCTTAACCAATCATTGTCAAGTAAATAATATTCTACTGTCTACACTTTGGTGCCTAATAAAGGTTATCTGTTACGGTACATAATACTTGGTATTCAAGGCTTGAAGACAACTGAAACAGTTACCAACATGAAAAAATTCAAACTATTTTAGATAATGTGAAACCAGTGCTGGTCAATGCATAAATCTCAAATACTAAGCCTCAACTTTTCTGATGACACTTTATTAAGCTGGATAAATGTGAGTTGATATGTGAGTTATGACTACATCTGACAGGCTTTATTGTTCTTTCAGCCCAATACTGAAATATTACGTATATGAATATGTATATGAAATACTGCAATTTGATTGATTATTTCAAAAGTTGCTAATTTATTCATTATTATTTGTCCCTTGGGTTCCTTCCTAGTGGAACATACGGCTTAACTAGCACGTCTCCATTACACTCTCTTCTCTGCAATCTTTTCAACCTCGCTCCATCACTGCCCACAACCTCTCATTTATTCCTCACACCATCTCCTCCATGTCACCCTCACCTCGGATGCCCAACTCACCGTTTCCCATCTGGGTTCCATTCGACACCCTGACCTGGCATGGTGCGTGATGTCCACAGTCAGTCTTCTCATTGTATGCCCATTCCAATCCATCTCCACTTCCTTCTGCCTATTTGTTGAGTGATAGGTTGTTGGTTAGTTCGTTGCCAGCCTGTCAGCCAGCCAGCCAGCCAGAGTTCCTTGGTGCTTATGCTTATTATTCTGGTAATCCATCTGAGCTCAAGTAACGAGCCAGTGTAGGCACTTGTTGATGAATGTCTGTAGTTTGTTGGAAATCCCCTTCGTAACGCGCCGTCAAGTCTCTGAACCATATATCAGCACTGACTTGACTGAATTAGTGTTGAAAATTCGAACGTTGTTCACGCTTTGTCCTGAGTGCAGAAGATCTCCACACTGGTTTCAGGTTAATGAAGGAAGGCCAGTCTGGCAGTCTTTCTGATTCCGGTTGCTTTGACTTCCTCGTCTGTGCCGCCACGACTGGCTGTATTTGAAACGATGCTGCCTTGCCTAGATACTTGAAGGAGACTACTTTGTTTTAGTTTCTCGCATTGATGATGATTGGATGTTGTTATTGTTGTTGATGGTTGTGGTGTTGGTTGGGTATCTTCATCACCTCTGTCTTCTCTACATTTACTTGAGGTTCCGTCTTCGGTGCCTCTTCTGTCACAACAGGTGCTAAGGTGACCTTTAAATCAATTCTGTGAGTTAGGCATAATATTTCTCAGACAGTCTTTATCGAACATTTCACTACTTAATCAGTGTATTAAGCATTTTCATTTATTGTTTATGACACTGCAGTGCACTCAATAATCTGTTAGTAACTAACTTCATTTGAACACCTTATGAAATAAGAAATTGGAATAAAATAATCTAAGTGGTTATATTTTGTTGTATCCATGCTTAGGTTAGGCGAATGAGGGCCACAAATAATCAATTGTGATGATTGCTCTTCATATATCTCTGTCATTGACTCATTCTGGATCACTTTAAAGGCTACCCTAGCAATGATGAAAATAACCACTTAAGTTTTTCCATTTCGGCTGACAGAATAACTTCAAAGGCTACCCTGGCAGCTAAGGTAATAACCAACCAGTTTTCAATATATCACCTACTATGGTGTATATTTTCTATAAAATAAAGAAGCTTAAAATGGTTGTCGCATCGGTTGTTAAGGTGAACTTTAAAGTCGCCACTTCATGCTTTCTTTGATATTATGATCAAGCCGCTTGCTCTTTAAGACCATGTACAAGTCTCTGTATTTAGCTAGATAAAAATGAATGTGTATTGTGGGTGGGATAACCATCTATATTTATTATTATTGTTTGTCCCATGGGGACCTAGTGAAACATAAGGCTTTAGTAGTACGTCTCCATTTCACTCTCTTCTCTGCAGTCTTTTCAACCTGGCTCTACCACTGCCCAGAAGCTTTCATTTCTTCGTCACATAATCTCCTCCATGTTACCATCATCTGGGATGCCCAATTCGCCGTTTCCCCTTTGGATTCCACTCGCCTAGGTAACTAGTACACTAGGTACTAGCCTGTTCTAAGCCCAAGTAAAGAGGGAAGGTTCGGCATACGGCCAGCAACCCTACCCCGTAAAACCAATCTAACCGCTAAAAAAACTTCAAAGCACAAAGTAAATATAAAAGATAAAATTAAACCTATTCCTCGTAAATATTTGAGAGGCGAAAGGACACCAGTTGATGAAAGACTTCGGGAGGCCAATCGACCTATGTGTCTTCTCTCGATGAAAGCGAAAGTAAACATGGGGACATAGAATGTCCGAACAATGTTTGAACCATCTATAACTCTGTCTTATTTCTAGTTAGGTGATGTGTCTATAGGATGAACTTGTATGTCGCAATTCAGAAAATAATGACAGTTGGGACTAGCGTCGGCCATCTCCTTCAACCCGTCCACTCAACGACAAAAATAAGCTGAAAAAGCATTTAACTACACGTAGCTATCATAATTACAGTGGTAATTTCTTGTTTAATTCTTCACTTTTCCAGTTGATTACATTTGTTTGTACTCTCATATGTTGATCAACAAAAATATCTTTTAACAAATGATATTCAAAAATTCTCTCTTCAATGAGATCAGATTGTATCAGCTCAAGGCAGAGATGTATAAAGGTGACGACTACTAAAATATTATAAATTCAGATACTTGGTGGTTGAAAGCAATGATTACGCAATCCTGAACCAAAGTTCCCGAATTGTTGGCACTCGTCAACAAAGGATAGTGGCAACCTTGAGAGAACTGATATCCCAAGAAAATTTTCAACTGCATCACACAGTGCTGCAGTCACCTGACTGAAATCTGTTACCTTGACATCGTAGTCGCGCTTTCATATGACTAGAATAACACGAAATGTGCTGATATGAATACTTTTCCCTAACTTCTTACCAGTGGTATGGGTTTTATAGCTGGATTCAATGCAATCAAAGTTAAATCTCAAATTTCCAAAAAGATTGCATATGATCGATCTCTAGCATATGTATCTTGGGGCTCTGTAGTTACGCACCCTGGCCACAAAAATCAACTTTACTTTTTCCCTTACTTCTTCAGTAACATAAAGGAGAAATAAACTTCCACGGTGTTAGCAGTCAAGAAGTCCTAAGGGTCCCTAGAACACTGTCAGCTAGCTCTCAAGTCCCTTCTGTTCACTATCAAACTACTACATCGATGTTTTATAAACTTTCTTGGTATGTTGGTTCATAATCCTATTTCATTTTTAACTTCTCTCAGCTCTACAGCCCTTGATAATGATTCAGATTCGTGAAACAGCACCAAGGTCTCGTCAAACAGCACTCTAAAGTAGGTAGAGCTTTTAACGTCTACCCCCCCTCCCCCCCCCCCCATCAAACTTGACAACAAGCCTCGGTAGCCAGAAGGCTGTCATGAATAAATGCTGTGCTTGTAAGACATAAAAAAAAAGCCTAATGTGGTTTTTCACTTATTCTTATCTTACCAATTCGAGAAATCTGCAGAATTCACTCTATATATCTCTGGAGATTAGATGGCTAGTTCTTGCGGTTTGCATATGTAGGTGTAAGGTTAAGTTTTAAGGAAGAAAGTGCACTGCCGGGCTTCAATGAAGTTGACAGTCATCCCTGCGCTTTTCAGCTGAAGGGTGTAGTAAGGATATAAAAATTATGGTACTGTTTGTGATAGCAGTTCGAACGAAGTAAGAGACAAAAGTTACCGAACATTCCTTAGCCTCACACTGATGATGATTTCAATATACGAGTAGATAGACTAAGTCGAACAAAAATGCATATTAGGCGACACTTTTCGAATCGCAGCGGACCCAACGGGAAATTTAGATTGCCTGCTACAAGTTTGACCCAACAATCACAAATTTCCGGCCACCATAAACTTCAAACATTAGAAGTGATATTGTCATTCACCTCTGAAGAGTGTTGGTGGAGAAATGCCACTCTTTCTGGAGTATGTATATGGACAGTGATTACGCATTGGTTCAAGTACACTCGTCTGTTTCTGAACCAAACTAGAAAAACTACAGCTACAAGATAGCCCCAACCTCAGCTGTATGATGAAAATACTTAGGCTGCTTTCAACGAGAAACTGCCAAGATAGTTATCGAAACAGAAAGAAGTCAATATTTCTGAAGAAGTGTAGCACCGTCATCAGCCTGCTGTAGAAACTATGTCAAGGTTAAGGCAAGGAAATGGTTAAGAAGAGTCTGTGGATCTCAACAGCAAGTTTTGAATTAATGGATGCACAATAATGCATTCCTGCAGGCTCCAAGCACAGTGAACGACAGAAGAAACTCAGGTGTAGATTACCAAAGATTCGAGGCAACAACCGTGAGCGGTGGTGGGGAGAGATACTGAAGATTGGATTAGCTGTCTCCACCTTACATCATCTGTAGCACCAGTGAAACATCCGACTTCCTACTAAGGATTGAATGCACTACGCCAAAGTTGACTCTGTTCTTGTTCACGTCTGTAAAACATGATAACTAAAGACAGAGGACATGAGAAGGTTTCAGGTGACTGACCCATTCTTGCTTTCATAGCTTGGGCAATTTATCATAGAACCGCAACATTAGTAATCCGGAAGTCAGGTAAAGAGTTTTCATTACAAGAGATAAGTCAGTTGTTTAGGTTGTAAACTTCCTTTAACTCTGATGCCTGAGATATATCACATTTGTCTATTCACTGTCTACCCTGCCGTGTACAGTTATTCGAAGTAGGTCTAAGTCGGAAGAAGTTTAAAGGTGACTAAGCTAAAACGTGGTTTCCGCTCATGAAGTCTCTGACCGTGGTTATAAGCTTTTTAGGGAAATGTCAGCTCCCCCGTGATAGCCTAAGTCACAAACAAGACCGATAGTTAACTTACTGCTACTCTGGATTACATTTATTTCATATTTTTGTGTTTTCCATCCTGCTGCCTAGCGTCTTGTTGAGGTGATATAGGATGCGACAACTTGGTCAGTAGAACAGTTTTGGCAGGTGCCAAGTGGATACTAACTAACTGGGTGATACCTTTTGTAGAGTTATCAGTGAAGTATTCTGGCCGTAATTGACTTCCTGTACATTTAGTGGTCATTGATGAGAAACCAATAATTGGATACGAAAATACTAACAAGCAGTTACTGCCTAATTGAATTTAACATTACTTATATATTCTGGAAAGTATTTTGACAGATTCTTTCAGATTATTCATGCTTAAGACATTTAATGATTTGCTTGTCAAGATGCTAGAAATACTAAGATACTTTTGAGATCGCTTGATGAAATAAAAATCCAGGTCACGGGAGATTTCGAACCAGTGACCTCTAAGTTATCGACCGGGTGCTTTAACAGCTAAGCTACCATGCCCAGACGAGATCTTAGTTTTACTCCAATCACCAAAGGTTTTGTTCGACTACCATGCGAATTCATGATGTGTTACTATCTATTCACCGTATTCACACTGGCTGCTCAGCCAGCTTTCCTCATTCTAATTCATATCAAGTCATATTAGAAGTGTTCTGCTTGTTGATGCTTATTTTCATTCTGACTGAAGTTGCGTTTATTTTTAAGACAGGTTTTGTTGTTATCTCTCAATTTTTCTATCTTTAAAGTATAACATGTTGCATAATGATGCTTTTCAACTGACAGTAAGACTGCTCAACAGAAATGAATTATGCTCAGTGATGTGAATAAATTATAAAATGTTATATATTGGATAATAAATGCTCACTTTGACAGCAAAAACCCACTGCTCTGTTTTAATAAATCATTTGTTGACCTACTGCTACATATGTAACTTACTTTTTCACCTTTAGGTCCCGGTAGACCAATTACTCCATCTTCACCTAATCTTCCAGGATCACCTCTATCACCTGGTATTCCATTTGCGCCTTTTTCGCCATTTTCACCCTGATCACCTATTTCTCCATGAGGACCAGCTTCGCCATCTTTACACAAAGGACAGACAGCTAGAGGTTCTCCTAAAGACAGAAAGTAAAGAAAATATGTGTTCATGAGAAGGATAAAATGTTGCTGAAGGATAAACATAGACTACTTAGATGATGATGTAATCATACATGGAGTTTTCTGTATGACATATATGCCAACTTAATGTATCGACTACAGGTTAAGTAATATTTCAGTGGATAATCCGGATATATGATGCTAAAAATCCTATTATCACATTTGACTACTTAATCAATACCGTGTTCATTGGACAAGTACAATCTACAAAACTGGCTGTAGAATTTAGAAAACATCACCTCGGTAAACTGGCCTATTCGCTGTGTTGCTGTCAAAATGTATTAAGAAAGTTTAGAAATGAGACGTTATGATATGTGTGACAAGTTATGAGAATAAGCATATGATATATCACGCTAAACAACTTCCATTTTGTGAGTGCGAAAAAACCTACAATACTTCAATTTGAGAACTGAAAGAAAAGTCTTAGAAGCGTGAAATTTAAGGCTAAACGACGTTCTATAGACTTGGAGACACGAATTAAATGCATAAATTAAATACATTAAGTAATCATTTTTCAAATACTTTGAATCAGGTCATGCGTCTGCAAACTACACAGTGCATAGTAAGCATGGTGCAGTTCGATGAAATCTACCTGTTAATTTTGATCATATCTTCTTTGGGAAACCGAAATATATGTACTGAGGACATAGAGAACTGCAAATACCTTGATGAACTCTAGCGGAAAATGGTTTCCCGCTCAGAATCATAAATAAGAACATAAAGCCAAAGAACCCACTTGAACGAACACGTTTTTACGTCGACAAAAGATTCTTTTATTGGATTTCGAATCCAAAAATGATACTGCTACAGTCATCCTCAGGAAATGACTTTCAAATCCTTATATAGAACCAACCTTTGAATTATTTTCTCCTGGACAATATGTGAAAGACAAACCAACGCATTGAGTCATATCATTGTGTATATACCACTTTACTTGGTCTTGTAGAGCTAAATATATTGACTGTACCATGCCCCAGCTTGTAAAACGTGCCTACGAATACTACCCAGCCTAGCTGGCAAAGGGAGAAGGGAAATGTGTCTTCATTTCAATAACAGAACACCTCGTGAACTCAGGTCACTTAGCTCCTTTTAAGAGTTCATTCGAAATCCTCTGCAGGGGTCTATCAAACCACTCGAAGGGAGTAAGATGAAAGTATTTGGCTATAGATGAAGTACTAGCCATCTAGAGGTTCAATGTAGCGTTATGTGTCCAGAAAAAGGTATTTCCAATCTTAGCCATGGTCATCATAATGCCTCGACTGTCATAGATACATCCTGTACTAGGAAACTATAAATGTATTTTCATAATCCCTTGTATATTTCTCCACTCTAAACCCAAATGTGTGTTAATTAACTTCCTCCAGTTTATTTTGCCCCCTAATCGAAAATAGTTCTGTAACGTTTTGCCCATTGTAGCATATATTCACGAATGTATAGCTTATTATTGGCCTATATCTGTTACCAACCCGAAGCTCTACTGACTAGGGTACGAAACTCATTCTCTGGTTCTGGTTCTGACGTAGTTTAAGCTTTTATTATTTCCTCAATCATCACGCAGTATCAATAACATTACTTTGTCAGACCACAGCTATTTCATATAGTTTCACTAATAATCAAAAATTGAATTACACTCGTATATTCGTACATGAAATAGAAATTTCGGTTTCTACGTAAATCGATGAATGAGAGTGTCTCCAATTTCATAGCTAACTAACAAAAGAGAGTGAAGTAGTCGAGCGAGCTACGAAGTCGGATCAGCCCTGATGGTTCAGCGGCCGAAGAAATCTCTGCACGGATACAAAAGGTTCGGTTCTCTGTCGCCAACTTACACCATCTGTGGTGCCGCCGCGATTTCTAGATATCTATTAAGGGTCGAGTAAACTGTGCTGCAAACTGCTCTGTTCTGCTTTACGGCCATTAAAGGTAAAAGATATGAGAAGGTTTCAGGTGTTTGACCACCGTTGCCTTCGTAGTATAGGCCGTGTATCGTGTTGTCACCACTTGAGTATTGCAGAAGTCAGGTGTAGAGTTTTAGGGAGGGGAAGTAAGTCAGTTGAAACGGTTATAAACCTTCATCGACTGAGATGACTGGGACATGTTTCACTCATGCCTAACCACTACCCGTATCGTCGCACAATGTTGTCCGAAGTATGTTCAGGCTGGAAAAAGGCTCCGGATGATCAGATTGGAACGTGGCATAAATGCATGAAGTAATTGAGTGTTCGTCTGACCCATGTCGGGCAGTGCAAACTACCTGGATGGGCTCTGCTGGACGAGAGAAATGCGTGGTTGGAGACTGAATCTAGGTGATGTGCGTCAGAACTGATGTCAATGGTGCAGATGCATACACAAATTATCCTCATCTTAACCACTATACAGAATCTCATCATTTTCTCATTATTACTTCTTCCCTTTTACTACTTTCTACTTCTACTTCCTTTGACTGGTATTTTTTTCCTTCTTCATCTTCCATTTTATTGCGTTTTTACTTGATATGCTGATATGAGGTGTGGCAACGTGGACCGTTATACAGTAATGTCTAGTCCTATATTGATCTTTATGATGATTTCGTCATTGAGCAATAAACGTAGATATCTCCTATGAAGGATAGATCTATCTGACTCTTTGAATCAATCATGAAAGATAGATGAAAAACTTTTAATAGATTCTTCAAAAACATCTAACGTGAAACAAAGCCTACCTGAATTTCATTCCACTTCATTTCATGAATAAATATTAGTCTTAGTTACGAATTTATAGAGGTTATGTTCCAGGTAGTAGTCATTAGAGACTGGTACCATTTTCAGAACCACTGAAAACCTAGGAGCATTGGCTAGTTATTTCTTCTTAGTATGGGACTCTTCAGTTGCATGAACTACTGAATATAAATATGAAGCACATCTGATAAACGCCTCTTTTACATATCTAGGCAGCATCGTTTCAACTACAGGCGGCACAGGCACAGGCACAGACGAGGACGTCAAAGCAACCGGGATCAGAAAGACTGCCAGACTGGCCTTCCTTCATTAACCTGAAACCAGTGTGGAGATCTGCACTCAGCATAAAGCGTGGACATGATCCAGGTTTTCAACACCAATCCAGTCAAGTCAGTGCTTCTATAAGGCTCAGAGACTTGATAGCGCGTTACGAAGGGGATTTCCAACAAACTACAGACATTCATCAACAACTACCCACACTGGCTCATTACTAAAAATCAGATGGATTGCCAGAATAATAAGTATAAGCACCAAGGAACTCTGGCTGGCTGGTAACAAACCAACCGACAACCTATCACTCAACAAATATACAGAGGGAAGTGAAGATGGATTGGATTGGATTGGATATGCACTGAGAAGACCATTCGAAGACATCACGCTCCAGACCAGGGTGTCGAATGGAACCCAGATGGGAAACGGTGAGTTAAGTGTCTGAGGTGAGGGTGACATGGAGGAGATGGTGTGAGGAATAAATGAGAGGTTGTGAGCAGTCGTGGAGTCAGGTTGAAAAGATTGCAGAGAAGAGGGTGTAATAGAGACGTGCTAGTTAAGCTCTATGTTCCATTAGGAACCCGAGGGATAAATAATAATAATAATAATAATAATAATAATAATAATAATAATAATAACAATAATAATAATAATAATAACTCTTTTACTTATTCGCTACCAAAATGAACACATGGGAAAGTAATTGGAATTGAAGGAAATCTTCTGTAAAAAGAGAATATAGAAGGACAGACATGTATTGAGCGTCCAAACCATATACAACCTTCAGACAAAAAGAAACACAATTCTATGTGTGAAGTGTTTTTGGATAATTTCGATATGCCACACATGGAAGGAAGGAAACCTCCTCCTGCCAGATGGTAATTTCGACAAAGGAGAAGACTAGAACCTTTCCAATTAAATCTTAAATGGAAGTCATACAATCTTTACATCGGAATATGATAGGTATCGGTATAAATGGAAATCAGCATTGTAAATTATCAACCGCTAAGGTAGAAGTTTTGCATTTCGATTTTTTGTTTCATATCGCTGTGTGGTCACGAGAACCTTATTCGACAGTTTTATCCTACAATTGACCAATCAGAATGTTATTTAACTTTGACCTAGTGGTTTTTTATCTGTGCATAAAAACTCCATATAAATTACGTATTTCTTGTAGTCTCAGGCCAGTATTATCTCTAATATTCTCGTAGCTCAGTGAAGTATGAGGTAGTGACAGAGAGAATTTGGTATTTGCATTCCGTTCAGTTGCGTCACTGCGTAAGTAGCGTTCACATATTCCTTATTATTTCACTTGGTCATTTCAAGTCGAAACATTTTAAAGATGATATAACGATAGCCTACCTTTAGGACCTGGAGGCCCAGGTTCACCATGTTTCCCTGGTTGTCCATCAGCGCCACTATCACCAGGTTCACCTCGTGCACCAACTGGACCTACTAAACTATCTCCTCCATATCCCTTCTCTCCTGGTTCTCCTTCATCTCCAGATTCACCTTAATGGTGCAATAGATATATGTAGGGAAACAAGTGAAAAAAGAGATACATATTCAAAATATCATCAGTAGATTAGAAAGATAGATCAATAATTGATTAGGATAATTCAGGTAGTATTCATCAACGACTGACATCAGTTAGAGAAGTGGCACGACACTTACGAACTCGCCTTCAGGTATCACGACGAACGCTATAACCATTCAGCCACCGGGTCGGAGTTCATTGGTCTACACTTTCACATTTCTGTCAATTTGTAACATAGTGCGACTATCCACCAAAGTGTTGAGTTAGCATCCCCTTCTCTTCCAACTTGGCTGACGCCACTGGTCATGAATTCCATACGAAAGCATGGCGCTAATGTGCACTTTGCATTCATAGGTTCTTTGGGGAACCCTATATTAGTACGTAACAGCCGTCTAGTACTTCCAGGTTCTCAGTGACAGCATAGATAGGTTCTACACATCATTCTGGTCACCTTTAACTTTTTCCAGCGTGTTCCTAATCCAGAAAACTTTGCATCTTGTAGCACATAACAACTCATTATAACTCATATATGTTTCAGACAACTAAGTAGGCCAAAGTAAACAATTTCATCAACTGGTGGCATTTATCGGTTATGATGGATCAATCTACTTTACAAGCCCCAGATAACACCAGGAGATAATCAGCCTTGACTCAAGACTATAATCAATGTTGTAAACATCTATCTCTGTCACTTAACCTGCCTGATAGGCTTCATAGGTAACGAGAGACATATGCATAAATAAAGATTTTAACTCTTAGATAAGGTTGGTTTCAAGTGGTTGATACACATTTTCGTTTTTCAGTTATTCCTCTGCCTTCTTGATATAGTCTTCTTTCTACATGACTTCTGTAGTACGTCTTTTGTCTGCTGGAAGTATAATGATATCTTCTCTATTTTTCAGTCTTTTTAGTGTTTTCTGTCCTTGAGTGCTCATTTGAGCATGATGTCTCCTCTGCCTGGTTAGTGGTATGATTGTTTGCCGTATTTTTTGTTGAGTAACCTCACGTGATCCTGATGTTTTAAGTGAGGATTGTAATGCTGCAAAGAATTCTGGTTTCGAGGCATCTCTTGTGTTGTAATTCAATCATTTTTGAAGGAGAAGTTCTTCCATTTTCGTTAGTGGTTGTTTTGATAAGTTGGTAATGCAGTCGTTTGTTTCTTTGGTTGTGGAGGCTTCTGAGATTTTGAGTAGCTTTTTTCTGAGGACTTTTCTTCATTGTTCTTTGTATCGTCTGCTTGATTTTTCAATTGCAGTTGTCAATGTTGTGATGTGTTGCATCGTGAGTATGCTTTCTAGTTTTCTCTTTTGATTGTTAGTCACTGATTGGTATTTCTGGATCCGGTGGTGTGCATCTGTGATCATTAATTGTACCATTTGCCTTCCACTTTGTTTAGCTATTTTCCATCCCATTGGACAATAATCAGTGGTCTATATCTAACACTCTTCGGCAGAACATGCTGATGTAGGCACTCATGGAGAAAGAATAGTTGTTCTTTTGTGGAAGCTTGCCTTTTGGAGAAGTCTTCCCATCTTCGAACAATGTGAAGCGTGTCACGCTCGTATGATTTTAACCCATCTCGGTTCCTGTGTTACCCAATAACTTATACTTATTACACAAGAAGTGACTTAAAGGTCACCCTAAGAAATACAGAAAGAGACAGTTAACTATATGTATTTTACAAAATCTACCCTTCCAGCGAAAAGATAGATATCTAATTGGTCATTTTAGTAGTTCTTAAGATGACCTTTACAGCAACTCTTATGTGAGGGTCTGTGATAATTAACAGGTGTTCAGGCCTAAGTAAATAAGTTGGGTAGAATCTTAGCCCGGAACATATGATTTGAAAGTCAACTCCTTAAGTCAATTAGCTACACACCGTCAGTAATGATATTTATTCCTTCGTTGATTTCGAAAGACTCAGCAGTATGCAAAATAAAGACAGTCTTTGACATCAACAAATGATAACACAGTCGAAAATAGCACAAGCTAATCATGCGGCACTTAATCTAAAATAGCTGTATGACATCATTCAGGCTTGCTGTAGCTGACATAGAAGTTTCTCAGGTCATATTAATCTTGATGACTAGCAAAGGAACCAAGGATGTTCGTTTCGTTCTATTTAGGGCTCTTCAGCTGGACGTATCTGCACCCCAGTGTGTGATGTTGTCCCCACTGAGGCTCGAACCCAGTACCTACAGCTTCAAACGCCAGGATGTTAACCACTAAGGCACTAGGGAACGATAGCCACCTTCTGTGTAACGGGGTACCAGTTGTTGTTATGAGGTGGGGATACATCCAGCTGGAGTCTTAAATTGGCTGAAACGCATGTCAAACTGGATTTCTCTGCTGGTCGACAAGGCTAATATAACACCTTGAATATTCAGCAGTATCGAGGCATCCGTATAGGAGCCTTATATGCCAACAGAGGTAGAGCTATTCGACCCTGTATAGCAAAAAGCTTTCAGGTGTTAAAACACTAGAATATTGCATGAATAATTATTCTCATAAAAAACAATGTTTACCAATCTTGCTAAATAACAATTGAAATTTGAAATAACTTTATTATTTACCTACCTTTAGGACCACGAAAACCTTCCACACCAACATCTCCTACCTCACCTAACTGACCAAAACCATCATCTCCAGGTAATCCTCTTTGTCCAGCCTGGCCTGGATCTCCATCGACCCCTGGATCTCCTTGAATTCCACTCCTACCTGTAATTAACAGGAAAATGCATTCATGTATCTATTCCAACTTCAATCATAGATTAAACAAGAGGTATTTGAAAAAAAACCACATCAATATTAATTTAGTATCAAGTTCCAGAATTCTACTTTAAGAAAATTAAAGTCGATAAACAGCAGAATAATTGAAAACTTCAACTTACCATACCAACCCTTCTGACCCATTGGACCTTGTGGACCAGCTTCACAAATTTTTCCTTGAATTCCTCTAACTCCTTTTATACCTTCATCTCCTGGAACACCTTTTTCGCCTTGTTCACCTGGTAAACCAGGATCACCTGGAAAGCCTTTTTCACCAAAATGACCTGGTAAACCTTTTTCACCTTTAGGTGTAAACTCGATTGGACAAATGGCTTTCTTAAAAGGAAAAGGCAAATTAACATAAATTATTTATTTTACTTGAATTATTCTTATCCAAAAGAACGAAATCAAGAGAAATATAACTGGATTGTTGATCCAGGTTTAAAAGGTTTAGCTGGACGATTTTAAGGAGTCTTCAGCTTGAAAGTGAGTATGTCAAGTTTACATTTTTCTGTAGTAGTGATAATGTCAGACAGATAAAATCATAGTAGAACCTCGCACATAAATTTACCGGTCGGAGTTACCAAACATCAGAGTAACACTTCTGTATATGGCTCAGACCAACTGTCAGAGACTTCATGCACAGAAGTGACGTCTTAGTGTGTCCACTCTGGGTCCTCTTACGACCTAATCTAGAGGTAGACGGTGGCTCAGCATACGAAACACATTTCTAAACCACCTCAGTTGCTGAAGGTTCCAAACCTGATCAGCTGAATTGTTTGCCTTGCATTGACATTCTTTACATGATGATTCCACGATATATAAGCAATTCTACGAAGACACCTGTGCCTGTAACCGTTTCACATCAACTTTCAATGGCCATGTCTCGAAGCCGTATAACAAGACACAGTGGAGTGTAGAACAGCATGCTCTTCCATGAATAGGTAGTCGTACCTTTTGCCAGTCAGTGCCAGAGACGACGCAAATTGGCAAATGCAAAACAGGCCATTTATATGCAAGCTGAGATTTCGTCACCAAGGAGCCCGTGCGGTGTGGTGATGCAACTCTCCGGGTAAGTCAATTGGTCAACGCATTCTACTAATTCGTTCCCTATACTTAAACTAAGCGTAACTTCAGACCAATCCTGAAGCATCATATTTCATTTAGCAGGTGCAAAACGCATGCCAGATATCCTCAGATTCCTACTCAACGCGTCATAATGTCAAGCATTTATAAAGATTCAATAAAGAGAAATAACTGAGATAGAGTTGTAGTTTATCTCATAGTTTGTTTTATTTCAACGCCTCATCTATATATTGCTAACTGACAACAGAGGAGCCCTTTTTTTCTTTGCATGAGAGTGATAATTCAACGATATTCTTCAAGGATATTAGTCAATTTTAAATTGTCGTGGTGATAAACTGCCTACAAAGTAGTTATCCATTGTCTTCCTCTCTGCCTTATTATTGTTTCTAAATCTCGGTATATTTATATTTATTCTCTCTTTGTTTTGCACTATCAGTTGTTAGTTCTGTAACAATTCTCGCGAGAACAGCGCCAGTGCTGTTTGTTTCCTGCTTTTTATAGCCTAATGAATTTAAATGGTATGATTTAGAGAGTTAAAATATTGGTTGTACCTAGGTTTTACGGTGTGCAACCGAACACACCTTTTCTGTAATTTTTTCTTAAATATGAGATACAGTCACAGGGAAGACTTCTCAGAATCAGAAAACAGTGCGAGAGGATAGTGTAGGAAATAGTTCCCTTCGATACAGTCAAAGTTATTAACATCAAAATTGAGCATAAGACTATCTATAATTGGTGAAGTCTTTTCACTAATTTAAAACTTCGTAGAACGACCACACAACCGTCAACTTCATTGGTCGCTTCAAAGTCTATTAGTGGTCACAGAGTTCTACAATTCTATTCAATTCTCTAATCACTACTTAATTTCTCAGTGTAATTTCTTAACAAATAAGGTATTCTGTACTTCATTTCCTGGCCTTAAACCTCTTTCTATGATGTTTCTGGTAGACTGTGGACAGAAGAGGCAGCGAAGACGGGACTTCAAATGAATGTAGAGAAGACAGAGGTGATGATGATACCCAACCGACAACAGCAACAAGCTCTAGTCACCAACGGGAGGAAATTAAAGGAAGTAACCTCTTTCACCTATCTAGGCAGCATCGTTTCAACTACAGGTGGCACAAACGAGGACGTCAAAGTCAGGATCGGAAAAGACGACGAAACAGGCGTTCATTAACCTGAAACCAGTATGGAGATCTGCACTCAGCACAAAGCGTGAACATGATCCGGATTTTCAACACCAATTCAGTCAAGTCAGTACTTCTGTATGGCTCAGAGACTTGATGGCGCGTTATGAAAGGCATTTCCAACAAACTACGGACATTCATCAACAACTATCTATGCTGGCTCATTACTGAAGATCAGATGGATTACCAGAATAATAAGCATAAGCACCAAGGAACTCTGACTGGCTGGCTGGCTGGCTGGCAACGAACTAACCAACAACCTATCGGTCGACAAATATACAGGAGGAAGTGGAGATGGATTGGACTTGGCATGCACTGAGAAGACCGACTGGGGACATCACGCGCCATACCAGGTCAAAGTGTCGAGTGGAACCCGCATGGGAAACGGTGAGTTGGGCGTCCCAGCTGAGGGTGAGATGGAGGAGATGGTGTGAGGAATAAATGAGAGGTTGTGGGCAGTGGTGGAGCGAGGTTGAAAAGATTGCAGAGAAGAGAGTGTAACGGAGACGTGCTAGTTAAGCCGTATGTTCCACTAGGAAGGAACCCAAGGGACAAATAATAAATAATAATAATAATAATGTGGATCTACGTTATAAGTTATGACAGGCACTTTCCTCATACTAACTTAGAGAAAACTGAAAAGAAAGTCATGCAATACAATGAATAAATCTATGCAAGCTTGCATTGCACTCATCAGTCTAAATTTGTAAAAAATAATAATCATACGAAGAGATGCAAAATGTTTTTTACTAATTCACTAACGAGTTACACTAGAATAGACGACATACCCCAGGTATTCCAGCTTGTCCTTGTTCACCTTGTAGGCCATCACGACCATGTGGACCTCGATCACCTTTTTCACCACTTGCACCTTCCGGTCCTGATGGACCATCAGCACCCAAGTTTCCCTTTGAATTAAAGATTAATTCAATAAAACAAGTAAAATAAAGGAGATAATTTCATAAGACAAATGAATATAAACTTGAAGTTAAGTTGTCATTCTATGATAAGTTAGATATTTGATTTGTTTATTACCTTATTTGTTATCTTATTGTCCTTTCTTCTTCTAACATGTAATGTAAACAAATGATGTATATGCATATTTGTTTAAATGTCAATTCAGTGTCTGTGTTAACTTTACAGGAAATAAAATCTTTAACATATAAATCTCTTTTCTGTTTACATCCTTTTTAATCATCTCAGTTTTTCTGTTCATTAAATGGTGAAATTTGGTGACATTCTATTTCTCATGAAGAATATTTTATTGGTGTTAAGTGTAGAGGAAAGGTGATTTGTGACTACATTTCAACTACTGAACCTTATGAATGATTTCTGAAGTGCTCCAAACAGGTAGAAAGTTAATAATCGATCAGAGTCAAGATTCTTCATTTCAGCACACAATATATCAAACCTATTCACAATGATCTTTTTGATTGTATTGTGTTCTCTGAGCTGGATTGTTTAATTGTGGAGCTTGCATCGTCTTTCTAGATAACATCATCAGCACTAACTTCATACTGAAGTTTTGAAGGTCAAGCAGAGTAACAGACAACAGGAAAATCTATACAGTCAATGACACAACAATCAAAGGAAAAAACCAATCACGGACCACTTCAAATGATGGAGAATATTTATAGCTCAGGTGGATGGTCTTGGTTGTATTGTGTTCTCTCAGCTGGTTTGTATAATCGTAAAGCTTTCGTCGTCTTTCTAGACGATATCATCAGCACTAACTTCAGTATGATATGAGCTGTCTATATCTCTCCATGAGTGGTTTAGTCGCTTGCTCTGACGATGTGGTCTGTGATTGGTTGTTTCCTTCGATTGTTGTGTCACTGACTGCGTACGTTCTCCTGTTGACTGTCCCTCCGCTTGACCTCTGACCTTTCTGACGTTTATCATCTTTCTTATTGGCTGATAAGTCGGGTCTATGTCTATACATCTATTGATTGCTGACTGACTGAGTGACCTGAATGCCAAGCTTCTAGGAATTCTCTGATGATCTTTGAGTTTCCTTTCTCTCTCCAAGATTTCTACATTGTCGAAATTGAATTCATATCCATAGTTGTTATCCACGTACATTGAAATGAATGATGAAATGTCGTGGTGTTTAATAGCTAATTGGTGTTCATGTAGACGAAGGTGAAGATGGCGACCAGTTTGTCAAATGTAGTGTTGACTACAGTGCTGATGATGTCATCTGGCAAAACGATGAAAGCTTCACGATTTATAACCCATCTCAGAGAACACAATAAAACCAAGACCATCCACTTGAGCAACAAATATTCTGCATTATTTCAAAACTGTTTTTCCTCAAGCTAAACTTTTTCCGATAACGTTTATTTTTTTGTATGACCAAAATTGTGTTTCCTCTGTCCATCCAACATTTCTACATTGTCGAAATTGAATCCATGTCCGTAGTTATTATCCACGTTGACTGAAATGAGTGATGAAATGTCGTGACGTTTAATAGTCAATCGGTGTTCATGTAGAGGAATTTGAAGAAGGCGATTACCATGTGCAATGTAGTGTTGGCTACAGTTATTGCAGTTGATTTTGTGAATGATATTCGGTTTGTCTTCGTTGGTTGTTGCATCCTTTGGTCTGCATCTTCCTACCATACATAAAGAATATATCAGAAATCACGACAAGATTACTAAACCACTTGAAATTGGTGTGGCTCATAAACCAACAAATTCTCTCCAAACACTATTATGCAGGCCAAATGATGCAACAACCAAAGAAGACAAACTGAATATCATTCACAAAATCAACTGCAATAACTCTAGCCCACACTACATTGGACAAAGTGGCTGCCCTCTTCCCCTTCGTCTACATGAACACCAACTGATGATGATAAACTACAGAAAGGTCAGAGGTCAAGCGGAGGGACAGTCAACAGGAGAACGTACGCAGTCAGTGACACAACTGTCGAAGGAAACAACCAATCACAGACCACATCGTCGGAGCAAGCGACTAAACCACTCATGGAGAGATATAGACAGCTCATATCATACTGAAGTTAGTGCTGATGATATCGTCTAGAAAGATGACGAAAGCTTTACGATTATACAAACCAGCTGAGAGAACACAATGCAACCAAGACCATCCACCTAAGCTACAAATACTCTCCACTAGCTTTATAGGTCTAGTTGGTTTTATATTATTACCAAAGACTACATAAATATATTGGATAAATGAAATAAATGCCAGTTAAATAAACTTACTGGTTGTCCAACCGGTCCAATATCACCATCTTCTCCTGGATCACCCTTAGGATTAAAAATTTAAAGTTATTTTTAAGTTATACTTTATATTCTATTCAACAAAATGTGAATATAATATCTGAAGCACATTTCTAATTAGTGATTTAATTCGATCTCATCTCTTTGATATTATGAGGAATTGTATAATTCAATGATAATTTTCTTCATATTCTAGTTAATATTGACTAAATTTCTCAACAAAGAGAGAACGAAGTGATAATTTGTTTCATTGAATAGTTCTTATTCAGCACTATGCACTGACAAATCTGTGAGAACTTCACGTTCCACTCTCAGTGAGTCACATCATCATACAGTGATTTTGACTGAATTAAAATGATATCATTTGAAACATCAATTATTTTGTGGGGTAAAGCAATTATCGTCATCTAGTTGGGCCTGAAGTGATTCATCAGTACCATAAAGTTGATTCACATCATCATTGTACAACTTCGTTTCAATCCAGCCGTTCATGCTGTACGGCATCAGAGAGTTCTTTTTAAAAATACACCTAGGAAATCTATTTGGTGAACTCATAGAGGTAGGAAACATGGACCATTGGATTCTGATTCAGTAACTCAATAGTGACGTGCTGGGTTCGACTGTTAGCGGAATCATAGGTGCGCATCGCTGAAGAGTCTCACAATAAGAATGAAACAGCTGCCCAGGTTTCCGATTTCTCTCCAACTGAATTCAGTCCATGAAGACTAATCTCAAAATTAATGAAGGACACGGGCTAGAAGTGTATGTAATCCAAAACGTGTGACTGGTTCAATATTTGACACTTGTCAGCCGGATGTGACTGCCTCCCGATGAGTGATGTTGTTCTCACAGACACTTTAAATGCCTAAAGATTATCCATTAGGCTATTGAGTTCTATTTGCCAGATTTTATGAGACAAGCAGATTTAGATGTGATTGCTTGTGGTTTCATGTTACTTGACTGGACTGAAATTATCGGTTGCTGTTGGCATATGGGCTCCAGTGTAGATAAGAAAAAACAAACGTCCTTTATTCCATTGTCATCCAACATTTATCGTTTATTGATATTTTATTTTATTAAATTCTGGCTTAACTATCAACAGCATACAAATAATTTATCATCTAATAAATTCCCCCTTTTTAAAAAATATAATCATTCACCTCTAAATAAACAAACATTTTCTTGTTCGTCTTTAGCGATATGAAAATAATTATCTCCATAAAATGATAAACATTTCTTTTTACTAAAATAGGATGATCAAGTTGTAAGTGATTTGTGAGTTGCACGATCACTGTAGACATTTTTCACAGCTAAATGGGTATTTTAAACGACTACACTGTGGCGTTAACAAGATTACCGCTAGAAACCCATCAGCTAAAATCTCAAGGTGTAGTCTCTCACAAAAATGTGTCATGAACTAACGAAAGATACTGATTTGAACTAATTTAGCTTCATAGATTGGATTTGTTCTGGTACACGGCTGATGAGTTCACTTCCAAAAAAGCGAAACAGCCATCAGATGTTTAAATCACTCTGCTGAAATTTACACACCAGCCTGAGTGTTTTTTGACTACCCAAGTTGTTCAATAGTAGTATATTCTACTTTTTTCCGTAGGAGATTATACTTTATGATCTTGGTTGAGAGGTTTCCAGAGGTAACCTTGTCGATACAATAGGTGGACGGTTAAAAAAACTGCTCAGCTGCCAAGGACGACCATGCAATTTGCAAATTATTTGTAAACTTATCATGCTACTTTATCATTATTATTTATTATATTATTAGTCCCTTGGGTTCCTAGTGGAATATAGGGCTTCAGTAGCACGTCTCTATTCTACTTTGTTCTCTGAAATCTTCTCAACCTGGCTCCACGACAGCCCATAACCTCTCATTTCTTCCTCGCACGACCTCCTCCATGTCACCCTCGGCACCGACGCCCAACTCGTCGCTTCCCATGGGGATTCCACTCCACGGCTTGGCCTGACGCATGATGTCCCCAGTCGGCCTTCTCAGTGTATGCCCAATCCATCTCCACTTTCTTCTACATATTTGTTGCGTGATAGGTTGTTGGTTGGTTCGTTCCCAGAGCACCTTGTTGCTTATTCTTTCTGGCAACCCATCTGATCTTCAGTAGCGAGCCAGAGTAAGTGGCAGTTGTTGATGAATGTCTGTAGTTTATTGGAAATCCCTTTCGCAACTCGCCAAGTCTCTGAACCATACAGAAGCACTGACTTAATTCACGTTGGTGTTGAAAATCCGCATCTTGTTCACGCTTTATGTTGAGTGCAGAAGATCTCCACACTGGTTTCAGGCTAATGAACGCCTGTCTTGCTATCTTTTTCGATTCTGACTTTGACATCCTCGTCTGTGCCACCACCACCTGTGGTTGAAACAGTGATACCTAGACAGGTGAGGGAGGTTACTTCCTTTAAGTTTCTCCCGTTCATGGTGACTGGAGTTTGTTGTTGTTGTTGGAGTTGTTTGTGCAGTATCTTCATCACTTGTGTCTTCTCTATATTCACTTGAAGTCCCGTCTTCGCTACCCTGCCTCAACTCTTCTGTCAACTTTTTAGTTTTCGCCTGTACATCTTCGAGTTTGTGTGGCATCAGGCACAAGTCATCGTTGGCGAAATCCAAGTCTTCTAGGTTCTTTTCCGCAGTCCAACCAGCGTATCCCCCTCTTCTCACAGCTCCCTACTGTTTGTTGCATGATCCAGTAGACCACAATCAAGAATATCATGGGGGATAGTAGACAGCCTTGTTTCACTCCTGTCTTCACTTCACTTCAAAGGCATCAATGAGCTTCCCATTGTGAATTACTTGGCTGGCATGTGGCATCTTCATATAGTTGTTGAATGAGGTTGATAAAGGTTTGCGGTACTCGGTAGTAATGAAGCAGTTTCCAAATTACCTATCATGCTACTTTAGGTGATTCGAACTCGACTCTATGGACTGAATTTATCCAAGTATATCACTGATGAATTAGGCCTCAAACGAGTGAAACGGCCGTCTGGTGTTTAGATCACTCTCTTCTGCCTGGAGAAATCTACAGATAAACCAAACTTCTCAAGTTATTCACTAGTGTTTTTTGTCTCACAGTCTTTCAACATGACTTTTATTAAAGTTTACTATAAGTCAAACACTGATTATATTTTCGAGAATAGGTAATAACAGTTTTCAAAAATTCCAGTTGCCTAAACACAAAAATTACAACCATTTTATTTAGTAACAACACCAATCTTGCTTTTTAGAAAATTAGGCTTGAGTGACTCAAGTTTGAAAACCTTACACAGGTAGAACGTTGTGTATTGACATCATCTTTTGATATTGGTTAGTATGGAGTACGATAACCTATAGTTAGAATATAAGTAAACCCATGTTTCTGAAACAAATCACTTATGGGAGCATCGAGAATTAACTTTATGTGTGGTAAACTGATGTTTCTGAACAACCTGAGAATATTACTATTTGTTGATATTCTTGTTATTCTCCGTTGTTTTGTTCGACCTCTATTGACATATGGGCTCCTATGCGGATGCCTCGATAGTGCCTGGATGTTAATCAGGATAATTTGGTTAGTTGTGGCTAGTAGAAGAATCCAGGACGTGCGTTCTGTCCTATTTGAGACTCGTCAACTGGATGTACCAGCACCCCAGTCAGTGTTGCTGTTCCCACTGAGACTCGAACCTCGTACCCATCGCTTCAAACGCCAAGGCGTTATCCACTATGCCACCGAGTAACGATAGCCACTTCTTGTACAACGGGTGATAGTTATTACTATTTATTGACATACTAGTTATTCTCCATTGTTTTGTTGAATCGAATTGTTCGACCTTGGCGTCGGAAGCAATGGGTACGAGGTTCGAGTCTTAGCGGGAACAATATCACTGGAGTGCAGGTACATCCACCTGACCAGTCCTAAATAGGGCGAAACGCGCGTCCTGGATTCATTTGCTAGCCACAACCAACCAATTTATCAAGCTTAGAGTACTTTTGTTGAGCGTCAGCATCATTCAGCAATCCAAACTCTGTTCAACTGCTTGTTGCCTATTTGTGAGCTAAAAAAGTGTATCATATAAACTACTGACTAAAATTAGTAATGGCTGACCTCTTATACTGAACAAAAGTGCCCTGGAGCTAGGGAACTTATTGATACCAAGTGGGATTATGTAGCTTACTCTCACTTATCATGGATGATTAACCAGATCATTAGCTGTGATACCATATAAGACGATGCTCAGAGATTTTAGTTATGGTGGCAAACAACTTAATTTTCTGCCACCAAATTTTTCGAGTTCTACTGGCTACGTTTTACTTGTTTTTGGATACAATCATAACCTAAATCAGATTAGTTTGCAAGGAAATTTAAGCATAATTCATGATTAATACCCAATTTAAAAATTAAACTTAGATGAATGCATTCACATAAAACTTACATCTATTCCAGATTCACCAGGTTCACCTTTCTCACCAATTTCTCCTATTTCACCTTGTATACCCTACAATCAAATTGTAGTCATTAAAAGAACATTCAGTTTATCAAGTGAGAGAAAACAATATCAATTCAGCATATATATAAAATATTATTAGTCCCTTGGATTCCTTCCTAGTGGGACATACGGCTTAACTAACACGTCCCCATTACACTCTCTTCTCTGCAATCTTTTTAACCTGACTCCACGACAGCCCACGAGCTCTCATTTCTTCCTCACACCATCTCCTCCATGTCACCCTCGCCTCAGACGCCCAACTCGTCGTTTCCCATCTCGGTTCCATTCGAAGGCCTGACGGGTGATGTCCGCAGTCGGCCTTTTCAGTGTATTCATATATATATATACAGTCAACATCAACATGGAATCCGAAATTTCTGCATAACTGTTATTATCATCATGTATAGACAATGTGATCTGATTCGTCACCTTTTAGTATTTAAACTATTCAATAACTTGTACAGGTTTTATTCTCTGAAGAGGCGATTTCCACGAAGTCGCGAAACGTCAGAAATTTATTTTTCTACTTCACTGGGATTTTACAAAATATATTTCATTTATGATCCAATTACTCAATATTCAACCTATTCAACTCTATCAGGTCAAATTTTGATCCTGAAGTTTACAAAATAACTGTACATAGTGCCACACCTCATTCGGGTATCGGCACACTAAGCAATAATCCACTAAATCATTATAAGAATACATTTTAATGTAATCCTAGTGTGTTTAGAAAATCAAAACAAGATATTTCGGAACGTTTCGCTGGACATTAGTAACAACTATGGTCTGGATGTTGATAATCCACTAAGGTAAAAGATAATTTTTTTCTTCTACCCAAAACTCTACATATGACACGTTATTGATGTGGCGATACCATGAAATACAGCCTGTGTTACGAAGGACACAGTGGTCGAATACCTGAAGCCTTCTCATGTCATCTACTTCTAATGACCATGTTTCAAAGCTATATGATTGGACAGAGCAAACTGCAGCAGAGTACGTTCATCCATTAGTAGACGATTCCATATCATGGCTTAAGTTGGTGAAAGTCAATCAAGCCTTTTGCAAATTTTGTCGTCCACTTACATAACAATGTTGATCTGACTTCTCATGTAATTGAGGAGGTCAACGCACACAACCACTTCACTCTCAACTGTTAGTCGAGGTGCTGCTATAGACCAGTCCTGGAGCAATAATTTGCATTTGGGTAATGAGAAACACACTACAAACACTCTCAATTGCTATGCAAGTTGTCCAGAAGACTTTTCATTCTGCCAAAGTTTCCACCTAACAGACCCATGTCATTTACGTACTCTACAACTAACAGACATTTTCCTGTAACTAGATCAACCCCTGTGAGTCAGACATCGATAAGAGCGTCTATGACAAAAACCAACTAAAATGGTTAAGGTGGGTATCCTCCGAGGACACCACTCAATGTATACAGCTCACCTAATAACTCACCATAGGCTCTTACACGATTATAGTCGTTCAAATACAGAGCTTTCAACACAGTGATGCACTTATTCAAAACCCCCTCGAGTGAGAGACGCTGTTATAAGACCTAGCGATCTAAGAACACCGCCTTTAGGTCGGGAAGTACAGCTAGTGTTGGGAGTCTGTAAGTGCGCCTGAGTTCCACAACTTGGGGCACAGTAAACATCTGGTCGACATACCCTCGACCGCTTCTCGAAGCTGCCTGATATTCTCTAGTTTATTGTCTCTGAACCCGACTTAGACATCTGATGACGATGGAACTCAGAATCTTAGAATCCATTTCCGTAAGAGTGGTTTTCCTGTGATTATCAGAAGGGAATTTCACTTTCCATGGAGACTGGGAAAATCAATGATTGAGACCAGTCAAAAAGGGTCACATTTGATTTTAAGACATTGGCTAACATTTCAGATAACCTGACCAAAGATCTTTTACTGCTATCCTTTGCGATCTCTGATACTAATCCATCGATCCCTACTACTCTTCCTGTTTTCAGATTGCCTACAGCTTTCTCAACTTATGCCGTATCTCAATATTCACTTGTGAACCCAACTAAATAGTGGGCAACAGGATGATAGCTGGAGGCCAGCTGAACTGTTCCTCGTTCGTAGACTCATACTTCTCCACTATGTCCTCCCCAATCACTGAACTTGATATGCGTAAATAACTTTCTATGGCTACCTATCACTGGTACTCGTTACATCGCTTAGTCTCTGCTACCGACTACCATTCGCAACCATTGCATAGACTCCTCTTGAGTCTACATCTGATTTGCTTCCGCTTATTGTACTCGGAGCCTATAGGAATGTGTTTGCGTGCATCCACTAATTCTTTGGAAGGTGCTGAGAACCACTGGCCACTTTCTGAGAGTCAGCTACAGTCCCCAATGGTATTTTTACAGCAAACTGGTAATGGTGTTAGGGTCTTCAAGGACGAATGATGTCTTTCTGTACCGATAACTGTTTAGCCAGTTTCTTGCTGAAAGTATCATCAGTTACTGTCACTCTACACTTTTGGTAGTTTTGATGTTAACGTTTTATTACGTCTACAGGAGTGAAGATTGACACGTGGTGGGACCATTGTACATTATCTTTCCAGTCATATGCTACATTAGGAACGGCAATTTCGCGCCGACCTTCTACAGTGCCAGCTGATGGCAGTATAATCTGTATCTACTGCTGAGATGGGACCAGTAGACGCTACACCCGACAATGTCCCTCTCTGTATCTGAAGTTCGTGCTGGCACAGTCTTCAGCAGGCGATCGCTGATGTTGCTTCGTTCAGCTGTGAAATTGCCACTCAAGTGCCTTTCTACCGGATTTAATGTATCCATTTCTGCATTGAAATCAGTCGCTACGATAACCACATTTGAAGTTTTGGCTCTTAGTAGAATGTCACACAGTTTTCGCCAGTAGTCGTCTTTCCCTGCATACGATCTCTAATCAGCAGGTGAGTAAGTAGAGATTACAAAGTGACAACCATAAGTTTTACTACCCCTTGTAGTCCTGGCTGCTCTATTCAGTTTAGCTGAACTGACAGAAGCAGGAAGTATGGACCATTGGGTTTCGACACAGTGGTTCAATGGCAACTTGCTGATCATGGAACCTGAAGGTGTTTGGTTTGATCCCTGGCGGATGGGGTCATGGGTGAGCATTGCTAAGGAGTCCAATGCTAGGAAGAGACAGCTGTCCCCTGCTCCTAGGTTTCTGATGTTCCTCCAATTGACATCAGTTCATGATGAATACAAACTTCAAAAAATCACTAAATCCCCACAAATCCCTAAATTCAAAATGCCTTACATAATCACAACTATGCACCGTAGACACTAGGCAGTTAGTAATACCTATCAAGTTATACAAGTTGAAACCACCCAGTATGCCTAAGTGTTTGCACTAGACTGAAAATTTTCATCCATTCAATTTGATTTTTATTCACCCACAACAATAATTGTTCTAACTTTAAAAGCTTTCATATCCACTGTCAATTATCAGTGTGATGAGAGCTGATATTCGCAGTACGATTTCTGGGAGTAAAAGAGTACTATCAAGCGATAGTAATGCATCATAAATTTACATGGAAGTCGAAGTGGAACAAAAATCCGGTCAGTAGTCAAGGTTCTGTAGCTCAGTCGGTAGAAGACTGGGCTAGAAACTTCAGTGATGGCTGATTCGAATCCAGCCGCGATCCAAATCTTCATTTCACCTTCAATTAACACCTAGTATTAAAAGACTTCTACTAATGTGTATATTTCAATGTCTATAATATACTTCCATTTAAATCCATGAATTGCATCTACGAAAGCTTTACTAGCTAGAATTTTATTAAACAGTTTATTCATTTATGGTATACACAAAATAAATGTCAGGTAAAGAAAAAAATAAGGTAAGCGATAAAATGAAATTCTATCAGTGAAATATTCCCTAACTATATGGAATCATAAACTTTATGTATATATACTTTTTGAAGGTTTAGATTGATTAAATAAACAGCCTAGTGTGTGGTTTAACTTACCATTTCACCCGTATCACCTGGTTCTCCAGCATCACCTTTAGGTCCCGGTAAACCCTAGATGAAGGTAAATCATAAAAATATTCAAGGAAACTGGCAGTTATAAATAACGGAAGTAGGTACGCGTTGATCTAACAGTATATTGCATTACAATACTTGCTATACACCTCGATATATATATATATATATATATATATCAGAACATACTAGCTTAACTACCTCAGCCGATGAGAGTTAACTACCCCAGTAAATATCCTTTAAGCTCAGCCTCTGAATTGTTCTCACTGTGATTTTATTGGGTATGAATAACACTACGAAGGTAGCTAAGGTCAAGTAGGGATGATTGTTATAAGTTTTCCAAAGGTATTGTTCACCTTTCACAACCATATGGTAAGATATTATACACTGCTACAATTCATCTTGGTCTTAGAAGGTCAAAGTAATGTCTCATTTAGACCATAGATATAACTTGTCCAGAAATCATGTTTCAGTGTCAAATGGCTACGTTTATTTTTTATTACAGTCAGATACATTCAAATGTTTAATTTAATTAACTTACTATCTCTCCCGTTTGACCTCTTGTAAAACTGATAATTTCTTCTTCAGTAAACTCTCGATCCATACCTTCACAAGGTTGTCCATCTTGTCCACGTACACCTGGTTCACCACGATCCCCAGGAATTATATTCGTATAACTGTATACTCCACTTTCACCTTTAGGACCAACATCTCCCATTAGACCTCGAGCACCCTAGTTAATAAACATACATAAACTGGTTTCTTCTCAGACATTGATGAATTGAAACAAACATTTGTATCAAGAAATTAGCATTTACTATTACTGTTTGTTAAAAGTTTATTTATTTGATGCTTTGTAACGAAAACATCTGCCTTCCAACGTTTTTATTGAACAGTATTCGTCTCTCTAAGTGTAGGTATTCACTAAAAGTAGGACGCAATAAACACTATATATGACTCAGATAAACAATAAAACATTAGAAAAATAACTGTTCACTGTTCAGAAGTAAGAGAGAGATGAAATGGTTGGGCGATCAGTAGTCTTTACGATAATCACATGTACTAGCTGTGGAATTCTGGTTATACGTTTCCTTTTACTGAAAACCTGTAGTCTCATGATATAATAATCTAATGGTTGGTACTTCAGCATTTTTAAGTGATGGCTGCTTGGTTTGAACCTCAATGAGAACACTGTCACTTACTGAGATGCAGTGACAACCAGCTAACGAGTATCAAAGGTGAGTACATAGGAGTACTGGATAACACTGCTAGCTATCAATAACTAAATAACATCGAAGTGAAACTATAGGTGATACTAAGACTTTCGTTCAATTAGCATGCATATCAGTATAGACTGAAATTCTCAACCAAGTAAAATGACCGGTGGTAAATTAAAGTTATCGAAAAGTTGACACAATAATTTGAAATAGATGTTGTGTGAACTACCTTCAGGAAGTATGTGTATACATATTAATTCCTTCTTCAAGAGATAAAATCAAGACATGAAATTAAAGTTCTATAGGTAATTAGCAAAGTAAACTTAACACAGAAATAAGATGATCCTCAGCACAGACGAGGATGTCAAAGTCAGAATCGGAAAAGCAAGACAGGCGTTCATTAGCCTGAAACCAGTGTGGAGATCTGCACTCAACATGTGGAACAAGATGCGGATTTTCAACATCAACGTCAAATCAGTGCTTCTGTATGGTGGATGAGAGACTTGGCGCGTTATGAAAAGCATTTCCAATAAATCACAGACATTCATCAACAACTGCCATCTACGCTGGCTCGTTACTGACACTAGAGATCAGATGGATTGCCAGAAAGGATAAGCAACAGGGAACTCACTCTGCCTGGCTGACAGAGAAGGAAACAAGAACCTATGGCTTAACAAATATGCAGTGGAAGGAAGTGGATATGGATTGGACTGGGCATGCACTAAGTAGACCATTCGGGGATATCACGCGCGATGCTAGGCCAGGTCATCGAGTGGAACCTAGATGGGAAACGACGAGTTGGACGTCCCAGCTGAGGGTGACATGGAGGAGATGGTGTAAGGAAGAAATGACGGCTTGTGGGCAGTGGTGGAGCCAGGTTGAAAAGATCGCAGAGAAGAGAGTGTAATGGAAGGAACCCAAGGGACAAATAATAATAATAATATAAGCACTCGACTCTCTGAGCTGAATTCCTCTGAGTACACCGTTGATGAACCTGGTCTTAAATATGCAAAATGGCTACTAGGTGTTTAGAGCACTCTTATCTCGCTGGGGAAATCTATAGATCAACGTGATTAGTTTCTAACGTCTCAAGTTTTTCAATGGTATATTTCTTTAATGCAGAGTTCAAACTTGACTCTAATGATAGAGAATATTTATAGCTTAAGTGGATGGTCTTGATTTTATTGTATTCTCTCAGCTGGGTTATTCAGTCGATTAGACAAACCAGTCCACAGAACACAATACAACCATTACTCTAATAAGTTTATCTAGTTAGCCATATTGTAAACCGATATCACTGATGTATATTACTGATGTCAACTTCAATCAGTCAGAATCTTATTCTTAGATAAATTATAACTCTTAAAATATACAGAAAAATCATATTTCGTCTCTTTTGTTGTTTCTTCTATAAAATATTACATAAACAAGCGACAATCACACACAAAAGATACAACTATAGTCAAATATGACATTTGAATTATTTTATATTACTGTATCAATCCTATTGATGCGTCAGTTGGAATGAAGTATCCGCCACTAGTTAACCTCAGTCATCATGATTACCAACCAGGTAAATCACATCCATCAAGGCTATCATAAAGGTAAACAGATCTCTTCTTAAAAGGGATTTTATCAACTTTAATACCTAATTTTCTGTATAAATGTCAATTTATCCTTCATATTATTATTATTATTATTATTATTATTATTATTATTATTATTATTATTACTAACTGAAAGTGATTGAAAAGAAAAACTGATAAAGTTGAGTGAATCAGTCTTTTACTTTCAGCTCTCTGATAAACAAGAGGAATCATGCGTATGTGTGTGTATGTATGTATGTATGTTTACCGTCGGAATAAACAATAAGTCAATATATTTGATCTTTGATGAGGGTGGTTAGCAATTGAATATAACAACAGTATATTGTATCAAACAGTGGTAATGTATCCTCGAGTTTACTGTTATTCATTATTCAGTAGATACAATTGGAATATTATTATTATTATTAGTCCCTTGGGTTCCTAGTGGAACATAGGGCTTCAGTAGCACGTCTCTATTCTACTTTGTTCTCTGAAATCTTCTCAACCTGGCTCCACGACAGCCCACAACCTCTCATTTCCTCCTCGCACGACCTCCTCCATGTCACCCTCACCACGGACACCCAACTTGTCGCTTCCCATGGGGATTCCACTCGAGCAACTGGCCTGACGCGTGATATCCTCAGTCGGCCTCCTCAGTGTATGCCCAATCCATCTCCACTTTCTTCTACATATTTGTTGCGTGATAGGTTGTTGGTTGGTTCGTTCTCAGAGCTCCTTGTTGCTTATTCTCATTATTCTGGCAATCCATCTGATCTTCAGTAGCGAGCCAGCGTAAGTGGCAGTTGTTGATGAATGTCTGTAGTTTATTGGAAATCCCTTTCGTGACGAGCCCCAAGTCTCTAAACCATACAGGAGCACTGACTTGACGTTGGTGTTGAAAATCCGGACCCTTGTTCCACATGCTGAGTGCAGTGCAGAAGATCTCTACACTGGTTTCAGGCTAATGAACGCCTGTCTTCCTATCTTTTCCGATTCTGACTTTGACATCCTCGTCCGTCCCGCCTGTAGTTGAAACAGTGCTTCCTAGATAAGTGAAGGAGGTTACTTCCTTTAAGTTTCTCCCGTTGACGGTGATTGGAGTTTGTTGTTGTTGGTGGTGGTGCGGTATCTTCATCACCTCTGTCTTCTCTAACAATTGGAATATACTTAATGGCAATACAAAACTGTACCTATAGGACCTGTGATCAAATTAGTCCAAAGTTCAAGTTGTAAGTCACTGAATTGAAATGTTTTCAATGAGGCAAGTAAATTCATTTTAAAACAATCTTCTTTCTCTTTCTAATGTTATCGCCTGTGAATCTGCTTCTTTGATTGGACCAAATTGATTGGTTACTATCGCCATGCAGACTCCTATTCGGATATCTCCAGATTGCTGGCATTTTCGGTTTTGATATTATTGAGGGATAGTGACTAGCAGGTGACGAACTCTAAGTAGGAAGAAATGCGCATCCGGGTTCCTCTATCCATCATTAATATCAAAACTGAAAATACCTGCCATATTCAAGGATCTGGACAGGAGCCTGTATGCTCATGGTGTCCGACTAATTCGGTCAAATCAACAACGTAGATTCACAAGCTATAACATCAAAAACTGTACCACGAAGTAGCTATCTTGACTCAATGGCCTGGTAAATGAGGCTATGGCGTTTAAAGCGACTGTGATCCTGCATCAAACTCTTAGTGGGATCAACATCATTTAGTGAGAGGTAGATACATCCAGTTGACGAGATCCACCTGAACGACACACACTTCCTGAATTCCACTGCTTGTTATTATCCTTCCTCATCATCTCACCAAGCTTTATTCATTATTCTACTATTATGTTCACAAGATACAACAAGAAATTAGCACAATTCTTTATAACACTAATGCATTTCTCATCTTCACGGAATACAATCTTAGTATAATGTGAACCAAATTTGGTTTGCATACGTTAAGTTTTAATCTATACAAACCGCATTAAACTCCATTCCTTTTGTCTCTTGATTCGTTTCAAAGCTGCTTCAAGACCACTCTCATTTCCTTCATCAAGTGATATGTAACGGAACACTGATACTGTCTGATCTCTGGATGTATCCATGTTTTTAGATGCGTTTAAGGAGTCAAGGGATAACCCGCTTTTCTCTCTTTCCAATTCACTTGCATTATCAAGTAGATATAAATTATTAAATTCTTTTCATGTTATAATTAAAAGAGTATCTGTCTGATTATATTCAGTAGTATGATTAGTCAAAGTATGAAAGTCACTAGAAAAAGTAATTACCCTTCTGCAGTGTTTAATAAGGCAGACAAAAATAGATAAATATGAAGTTCACATCACAGAGATTCACAATTATTACCTTAAATGTATTTGCCATAGGTGGCGCCGATGAGGATTTCAAAGCACCCAGGATCAGAAAGACAGCAAGACAGGCCTGCCTTCATCAATCTGAAATCAGTGTGGATATCTACTACACTCCACTCAGCATAAAGTGTGAACAACATCAACATTTCCAACACCAATTCAGTCAACTCAGTGCTACAATGTGATGGTTGAGAGACTTGGCGGTGCGTTACGAAAAGCATTTCCAACAAACTACACACATTCATCAACAGCTGCCACCCACGCTCACTCGATACTGACACTGAAGAACAGATGGATGGCCAGAATAATAAGAATAAGCAAGAAGGAACTCACTCTAGCTGGCTGGCTGGCTGGCTGGCTGGCTGGCTGGCTGGCTGGCTGGCTGGCTGGCTGGCTGGCTGGCTGGCTGGCTGGCTGGCTGGCTGGCTGGCTGGCTGGCTGGCTGGCTGGCTGGCTGGCTGGCTGGCTGGCTGGCTGGCTGGCTGGCTGGCTGGCTGGCTGGCTGGCTGGCTGGCTGGCTGGCTGGCTGGCTGGCTGGCTGGCTGGCTGGCTGGCTGGCTGGCTGGCTGGCTGGCTGGCTGGCTGGCTGGCTGGCTGGCTGGCTGGCTGGCTGGCTGGCTGGCTGGCTGGCCGGTAACGAACCAACCAACAACCTATCGCTCAATAAATATGTAGAGGAAAGTGGAGATGGATTTGAGTGGATATACACTGAGAAGACGGTTTGGGGACATCAAGCGTTAGACCAGCCCCTCGAGTGTAATCCAGAGGGGAAACAACGAGTTGGGCATGCGAGTGTGACATGGAGGAGATCATGTGAGGAAGAAATGAAAGCTTGTAGGAAATCATGGAGCCAGGTTGATAAGACTGCAGGGAACAGAGTGCAATGGGTTCCTACTGGAACACAGGGCTTCAGTAGCACGTCTTCATTACACTCTCTTTTCTACAATCTTTTCAACCTCGCTCCACCACTGCCCACAACCTCTCATTTCTTCCTAACACCATCTCCTCCATCTCACCCTTGTCTCCGATACCCAACTCGTCGTTTCGTATCACGGTCCCACTCGACATTCTGACCTGGCATCATGCGTGATGTCCCCAGTTAGCCTTCTCAGTGCATGCCCAATCCAATCCATATCCACTTCCTTCCACTGCATATTTGTTGAGTGATGCCTTGTTGGTTGGTTCGTTGTCAGCCAGCCAGCCAGCCAGCCAGCCAGCCAGCCAGCCAGCCAGCCAGCCAGCCAGCCAGCCAGCCAGCCAGCCAGCCAGCCAGCCAGCCAGCCAGCCAGCCAGCCAGCCAGCCAGCCAGCCAGCCAGCCAGCCAGCCAGCCAGCCAGCCAGCCAGCCAGCCAGCCAGCCAGCCAGCCAGCCAGCCAGCCAGCCAGCCAGCCAGCCAGCCAGCCAGCCAGCCAGCCAGCCAGCCAGCCAGCCAGCCAGCCAGCCAGCCAGCCAGCCAGCCAGCCAGCCAGCCAGCCAGCCAGCCAGCCAGCCAGCCAGCCAGCCAGCCAGCCAGCCAGCCAGCCAGCCAGCCAGCCAGCCAGCCAGCCAGCCAGCCAGCCAGCCAGCCAGCCAGCCAGCCACAGTGAGTTCCTTGTTACTTATTCTTATTATTCTGGTCATCTGGGCTTTAGTAACGAGCCAGTGTATGCACTAGTTGATGAATGTCTGTAGCTTGTTGGAAATCCCTTTCGTAACGCGCCGTCAAGTCTCCGAACCATACAGAAGCACTGAATTGACTGGATTGGTGTTGAAAATCCGGATCTTGTTCCACATGCTGAGTACAGAAGGAACTCAAGGGATAAATAAATAATAATAGATAGATAGATGGGTTTGCACTCGCTTTTTTGATTTAAGTACTAGTGTGTCAGAAGACCAAATAGTATCAACAGTTTAGTCTACATAGTTATCTGAGTATGAAAGTAATGTTGAGTGGAAGTTGTTTGTACAGTCCTATTGACACTAACCTCGTCACAACAAATATGCTGCATAATCATACAGTCATAATTATGACGATATAATAGTAGCACAACATCTAAACCATTTCTAGGCAGAATTAATAACTTGAGGTAACATAAACAGGTAAAACTAAGTTCATGTGATTGATTTGTTGGATAGCACCCATATGCATCAATTCGCTCAATAGAAAATATGCATCATACTTGCATTACTTTGCTTATCTTTTTGCTTGTGTACGTTTATGTAAAGATCTCTTAAAGCATAACAGAGAATACTCACTGCTTCTCCTTGAACTCCACGTGTACCAGGCACTCCATCTTCTCCAGGAAGTCCTGGTAAACCCTAAATCATAAATAAAGGAGTGAAAAGTTAATTTGTTAGTGAAAGTAAAAGCTACACATTATATGTTTTCGGAAGGAATTTGCATCAGTTAACATTTTCGTCTGACTAAATATGGCAACGTTGGGTTCAGTTTTGGGCCATGAATCTGATGTGACACAAGATGTAGTGCAAATGGTGCTAAAATTTGGACCACTGTTTTGGTCAAGCCAAACATTGGGCTAGACGTCATGCCATTGATAAAATCTCAGGGCCAGACATAAGCCAAATATTTCAAGCATAGAGTTAAATACAGGGTCAAAATACACAGGGCCTGAAGTTAGGAAAATGTTTCAAAACCACACGCCTAGCCCCATATTTTGCTTTGACATTTTCTATAGCGATTGGTTCAACATTGTCATGTTTGGTCGGACGAAAATGTTGACTGGGTACATTTCTGTACACTTCATGCAAAAATATGAAGACAATAGTAATCAGCCACCATTATTCGTTATTTAGTGAATTAAATTGATCCAGGTTTAAAATTGATTAGGTTCTGAAAAACATGACAACAGTTCTTAAAACCTTTAATTGTCAACCGGAGACGTTTTGGGAAGTGTAAGCTACCTAGCTTGTTTCATAAAATTACTTGAAATCAATAGTTTTAGGCATTTAGTGATACGGCTAAAAGTCGATTATACTCGTATATGTGTATTCATTCCTGTGATCATTAAAACTTTAGGTGAAGTAATAATCCGTATTAGTTTGCCATCTCTCGTTTAATCTTCTCGCTGTTTATTTCAATATCCTTGAATATTTATTGGTCTATTTCTTCAATCCTATAACTATGTAGGACGATGTGGATGGCTCTTCTTCTTTGACAAGATGTACTTATGTTTTCTGTGTAGTGTAGTGTGGTGTGGCGAACATAATCAATTATTTGTTAAAGTTTATTACCATTTTCATGCCCCGTTAACTAAATAAAATTTTGGTAAGCCATAAATTTAATTCTTGTAACCGCTAATTGGCATTTTGTTACATCATTTTACTTGGAAATAATTAGCTTGCTGATAAATGTAAGCCAGTTAAAAATTTAAGCTTAAAGTATATAATCACAAGTTACCCCTACAATAAATCCGATATTGTTAACTATGATGCCGATATATATATATATATAATTTAAGTGACACACCATCTACAGTTGGCATTGAGAATCAAAACATGATAAAGTGACTATGACTCTACAAAGATAGCCAAATATCACATCATCCAATTACTGACACGGGTATTTCGAGATGCTGACCAAATGCGTAACCGATGGTGCACATTTAATCACCCTTGTTTGGATAGCTGGTTTGCTGGTGATTCTGATGGTTGTGGTATTTCCAGTTTATTTTCTCAATGGTTGACCCTCTCGTGGTTCCCACTCCAAAGCAGATGTCAGCCTGCAAACCAAATTACTGTCTTTCCATCCAGTGCTAGGGTTTCAAAATGACAAAAACTACTTAGCAAAGGTTATGGTGGAGTTACTCAGATGTTTATAAATGCTCTACGGTACCTAACCTACTTTTTGGAGTACATATGCATCGGGCTTCGCCTAGTGTGCAAACACATGCAAGGTATGGTGAAGGTAGGTCTGCGTACCTGTTAACTTCCCTAAGTAGAGCTGAGTCGGGCTGTATGTCTGCCTGTATCTCTGCTAAGCATTACAGATCAGTGGTTTAGTCCACCCTGGTGACTGCACCAGCGGTAGTTATGGAATACTGAAAGCAAAGAAGCTTTTATCATCGCTTCTGGCTGGGGAATGGGTTTTTGGAAGCAGTCGTTGATTGACTTCTGGACCTGGTGAGTTGTCTGACACCATTACGCAGGCAGTAAGGACTGAAATGCCTGAGCGCCACCTCACTAACCGAGGTGAGGAGTTTGGCCTTATTCGGACGGTGAGTGTGAGATGCGGTCGGCCTTGGCGGGAAAACCCAGGGTGAACACTAAGTGTCGTCCTGGTTAAGGAAGTACGGTCAAATATCCTGGAGTTTGAGGCGTTCTCTATTTACAGATGACGTCCAGCTGATCTTAAATAGGCGAGAATTTTAAAATTGGAATAATGAAATGCCTCGTCATCGGCGCATACTAAAGCTGTTACTTAACTCTTCTTGTGCTGTGCCAGTTGTTGCGTAGAGGTTGAGGTTTGTTGTATTACTGGCCACTGAATTCCAAGTTGTAATGGCTTGAGAATTCTGGTTGAAAAATAGTTGCAAAACGATCATCTCCACATGATTCCTGCTGGTAAGTAATCTATGATTTTGAAGTAATCAACCACTTACTAGAAACTTTGTGCAAACGAGCTGTCAACTTTTCATTTTAAATGGTTCATGACGTACTACAGAATAAGTGTGCCAACGACTGATTACTGACAGATATTGGTAATTAGTTTGATTGTAGATTACATAAGAATTCAATACGCGCGTTTCATCTTATTTGGGACTTGTCAGCTTGATGAACTTACACCTCAGTGAGTGATGTGTTATTCTCACTGGTACTCGAACCTCGTACTCTTCGCTTCAAATGCCACGGAGTCATGATGACCAAATAAATCTCTATAATTAACATTCAGGCAATATCGAGGCCTCCGCAAAGGAACCCATATGCCAGTAGAGGTCGAACAATTCGATCGAATAAAACAACAGAGAATTACAAGTATATGAATAAATAGTCATAAAGATATTACTTAAAATCTTCAGTGATAACCATTTTCATGGTTACCGACTTCCAGTAAAGTTATTAACTTTTAAAAGTGATATATATATATATATATATATATATATATATATGTATATATATATATATATATGAATATGTATATGTGAATAACTGATACTTTTTACCTATAAATAACACTTCACTTAATTACTTTAGCTTTCTCTTTGATTTCGTTTCCCATATTAAAATAAATATTCCCAGACAGTATGAAAATTGTATATAAATTACTTAGAAATCAGTAAAATTTGTCTACTTCACTAAGAAAGCAGTAAATTTTATCAATATAGGACAGAAAAACTATTAATAAAATTGAATTTTCAGGGAGTTGTCGGGATTTGGAAATATTTCAAGTTGTTATTAATCGTCGACTAATATCAGTCGGAGGAACAAAGGAAACCTGGGAGCACTAGACAGCCGCTTCATCCTAGTATGGGACTTTTCAGCAGTGTACACATGCTGGCCACGGAACCTGAAGGTGGCGGAGGGGTCGTAGGCGCACGCTTCTGAGAAGTCCCATACCAGTGGGACGCAACAGTTATCCAGCGCTCTCAGGTTTCGTTTATTCCTCCAACTAATGTCAGTCTACGATGAATAACAACTTGTAATAATGAAGTTGGTAAATGGTCTCTCTCAGGTGGTCTCAAACTAAACCCTTCTTAATGTCAAACCGTTAATTTTAGCCTCAGGTGTAAACAAGACTTATGTGAGCTGCTTAAATCTCATGACGCCTGCTGCATCAATGGTATTTCTGTAGAAAGTAAATCGAGTGTGAACTATCTTGGGTTGCGTTTTACTTGAAAAAAATCTTTTGTTTAACTTATTACGTTAAGAAATTGAGGCTTTCTGGTATAACTCAACTGCTTCTTTTACAATTTATTAATTCCTGCATTTTACCTATATTGTTCCCCATTAATCTTTCCTGGTCTTCTTAAAAAGGACTATGTTATGTTGCGTAGGGCTTTGAAGACCGTCAGCAGGGTGAGTGATGTGTCTCTGGCTCAACTGATTAACACTGTAGTTGATCGACATATAAATTCCTACAATCTACTAGCTACAGAAATTGTAACTGACAGTGAGCATCCACTTCATTTACAGCTCTCTCCATGTATCTTCTCAGGGAGGACAAGGAGAAACTACATAAGACTGTATGCTCGTACAGGTAAGTATAAGAATTTGACTGTACCTTACCTTGCTCGTATATTTTGTGAGGAAAAAAGTGTTAGAACAGAAATCACATATCAACTTTGTGACAGTTTTTAATATTCCTCATATAACTTAAATTTTTATAATAAAACAATTTGAAAGGCTGCAAAGTAGTATGTTTATACTTATATTTTGTTGTTATTGCAATATATATTACGCTGAGAATTCCAAATTGTACCACAAATTGTTTGGAATAAAGTGAATTATTATTCTTATTATTTCAAGTTGTTATTCATCATAGACTGACCCAGTGGCTCAATGGTAACGCGCTGGCCGCGGAACCTGAAGGTCGCGGGTTCAATCCCTGCTGGTGGGGTCGTGGGTGCGCACTGCTGAGGAGTCCCGTACTAGGACGAGACAGCTGTCCAGTGCTCCCAGGTTTCCTTTGTTCCTCCAACTAATATCAGTCTATGATGAATAACAACTTGAAATAATTCCAAATCTCCACAACTCCCTCAAAATTTAATTCTTATTATTGTTAAGAAATATAATTCACTTACATCTTCTCCTTGTTGACCCGTTTCACCAGGGTCTCCCTGTAATACAAAACACCAAAAACATATTTCATTCATTATGGAAAATGATATTAAAAGTGGAAAAAATGATTATGCTTTACACCAATTTAATAAAAACAAACGATTTGAAGTACTTGAAAAAATTCTGATTACTGAGTAAAGTTCATTGAAATACAGAATCGAATTACTCTGTCAGTAGATGGATTCCTATGTTGATATTTAGATAGTACCAAATATTTATGATGTTCTATTCATGTTGGTGATTAGCAGTGAAATCCAGGATACAGGTTTCGTCCCAAATAGCACTCGTCAGCCGGGTACACCCACACTCTAGTGAGTGGAAGGATTTCAACCGAAGCTTGAACATAGTACTCATTTCTTCAGAGAGTATTGAAGCATCCAAATAGCAACCCATCTACGTACAGAGGTCGAATAATTTGGTCTAATATAATAACTGAAAACTGTAACTGTGCAGATGATATATGGGGGGCTGTAATAGTTAGTTTTCTTAGAAAAAGATACATTTTTGTTTAACCTATCATAAATCAGGTAACGAAATGAGTAGATATTAATTTCTCAGGGTATATCTATCATGTAGAACTTAGAATATAAATTATTCAGATAGTACTCTCCTACTTTCGAATCGTTATATAGTGACAAAAAAAAGGCGTAGTAGACACAAATGGACTCAGTATCAAGTTATACTATGAAACGAGTTCAAGAATAAAACAACATATTTCAAATCCTTTCAGTATTACAGTTTATTCGAATGTCAAACTTAACTCGTATGTAATGAAAACATTACAAATTATCTCTGGTACAAATACCATAAGCTAATGAGATATACATTTGAACAATATGAAGATTTGTAAACTTTCCATGCTTATACTCAACTTGTCTTACTAACTGAATTAAACTTAACCAACTATGAAACGATTATATTATTCATTTATAATGAAACTTATGACTAAAGTAGCTAGGTAAGTTCAGATCATGATGAAGCTGTTTTGACCGTTGAAATATAGCTATCTGCTTTAAACGAACTGCTATGCTAAAATCGAACAAGTGAACAATAGGTAAATCATTTCAATATTGTTATTCATGAAGTATGAAAACTGTTAACTCGACAGCGGGATTAGTTAAGCTTGTGTCTAATTCAACTGGTCTAATTCAGGTTATATAAACAATAGGCATTCTAGAAATAAGAATGATGGAGTTCAGAAAACGTGTACACGTTCCTGTAGTAAACAGTAAACCACTCTGATTGTGTAAGAATTAGTAATACCGCTGGACATTAGTTCAGATATAGTGTTATTTAGACCAGTGACCAACTGGGGGGTAATCAAGTGCTTAGATAAGTGAACTACACCATTATCCAGGTACAACACATTTCGGCTTAGACTAAAATATCGACAAAATCATATATCAGGTTGTTATCATCGTAGACTGACATCAGTTAGACAGGAACAAAAGAAACTTGGGAGCACTGGAGAGCTGTCTGGTTCTAGTATGGGACTCCTCAGCAGTGCGCACCCATGACCCTGGCCTCCACAGATCGAACCCAAGACCTTAAGGTTCCGTGGTCAGCACGTCACCATTGAGCCACTGGGTCACAATCCACTCGTCCATATTTCCAACTTCTGTTAGCTCACGATATAGCCCAACCGCCATCCAATGTTGTCGTTGAGTAAATAACCTCACGACCATCAGGCCACGGAACCTGAAGGTTACGGGTTCGATCCAGGGAGGGCGGGGTCGTGGGTGCGCAGTGCTGAGGAGTCCCACACCAGTGGGACGAAACAGCTGTTCAGTGCTCTCAGGTTTCCTTTATTCCTCCAACTGATGTCAGTCGACGATGAATAACAACTTGAAATATTTCCAAATCCCTACAACTCCCTAAAAATCATATATTCATGAAACCAGTGTGATCATATTAGAATGTAGTTATATCTCTTGTTAATTATCACACGCTATTCAGTAGTATATTTTGATAATGAGCATAAAGTTTTCAAAATTTTCAATAGAACTTTAATGTATATGAATTAAGTACAACAGATCAACTTTCTTTTCATACAATACACCTATAACAGGAAAGTATGAAAATTCAATTAAAACTAGACAGGCATTCATTGTAGTGTGCATCAGTTTGTTTTTATGGCATGATAAGCAACTTTTCACATTCATACTCCACTACATTCTATGTTAAAACTGTAAAGACGAAACTGTAAGCAAGTGAAATCATTTTTACATATTAAATAACTTGATAAACACTGACTGCTCAATTCTCGAGGCAAACATGAAAGACATAAGGTATTAAAAACATATTCTTCAGAGATGTCATCAAACAACATTGAATAATAGACAATAGTTAATCGTGTTCATTGCTGAAGTAACTGTTTAGTTCATATTCATAGTGTAACTGCCTAGATTATTCTATATTCCATTTATTTATTTGATATGTAGCCCACAGTGAACAATATAGTATTATTTACTTGATGATGTTTCAAGTATAAATTATCATTGCTCATAATTGATATCAATGTGTAATCACCCTACTTTCAACATCCGACTTTTACCGTCCAATCACCTTATACTCTCTGTTTTAAACAGTAGTAGAATTTCCCACATCTTCAGCATTAGCATAGCCTCATTCCTATTCAATTAATTCAGTGTTGATTTGTTCGACACAGATTCAATAACCAATCTCTCTCTCTCTCTCTCTCTCTCCACCTAATCATATTCGACTTAAATACAATAGTTTTGTACCATTCTATAGTATGGATTACCATCACCTCACAATAGGATTCATTAGAATTCTTTACCGTAACACCAAAAATCGTTTTTACAAGTTAAAATATCACTCAATAAGTATGATTTTGGAGAAATAATAACTTGGAAATGTTAGAAGGTGTCAGATCATGTCACCAAGCATCTATTGATTTCAAAACATCAGTATATCTGATTTAAAAAAAATTATGCGCCATGGTAATATTGAAAAGAAACCACGATTATGAGTGCATCTGACCCCCTCGAACTTTATGAATGACAGATTATCAGGGTATTTTAAAGAAGTGTTTAATCGAAATCTACAGTTTAGTGAGTAAATATCAGTCAAAAATATTTTTAATTAGCTAGCTTATAGGTGTTTAGATTATGTTCTGAAACCACCTGTCTAATTAAAATTAAAAACACTACCGACAAATATTCAGTATTATTCCAAAAGCTTTATGAAATCACAATCTGTAACTGTTTTCTTTTATTGTCTACCACATAGAACTGTGCAAAACTCAGTTATGCATTCCTTCAGTTCATATGATCCATCCCTTTGAACATTCCGATTTCCCTCCTAAAGTTAATTTACATTAAACCAAAGAATCGGAGGAGAAATAGATTAGATAAGCAGAAGATTAAAATGAATAGAAATGAGAATAAACAGGAAGAATGATATAGCTGACCCTAATCTTGGTAAGAAAACAAATTTCACCAAGGTAGATGTAGTGTAAGAACAAATTAATTTTGTAAATACAAAGGTGGTTTGAATTTGTATAACGGCTCTCATTTACATATTAGATTTATTTATTTGATATATAGCCCATAGTGAACAATATAATATTATCTACTTGATGATGTTTCAAGCATAAATTATCATTGCTCATAATTCATATCAATGTAATTACATAGCACCTCCAAAATCTGGTGTTTATAATCCTGTCACACCTTATATTCTTTGCTATTTTGGTAGTAAAATTTTCTGTATCTCTGGTATGGGTGTTGTGTCACTATTCCTGATGTACCTTTCTTATAGGGTAACACAATAGGGGCTGTGAACTCCTTTCTACTTGTGTTACTGATATTATTTCATTTCTTTTGTGTCCGTAGGAGTTTCTTAATAAACTGCGGAGGATAATTATTAACTATTAGCGTTTATTTTACGTGCTCCAGTTCCTTGTTTAGGTCTTTGCGGTGACTAGTCAGTTTTGTAGCTCTATCATTTAAGCATATGACTAAATCTGCCTTAACTGACGTTAGATACGATTACTTGAAGTCTAGATGCCTGTTGAATACTTTACGTAGGCTACTCAAAAAAGCTGCTGTAAGGGTGCCATTTAAACATACAAACTCAATCAGAGATAACCTTTATCGACTGACTTAAGGATTAGGTAGAACCAATTAAGCAAGATAATCTAACCTACCAAATTCCATGTCATGACTCCGAGGTCAAGTACATAGGTCAAATTAACTGGTCTAGTCAGTTACAATAGCCAAATATAGGAATTTAGCTAAATATAGAATGACAGACCCCAATAAGATCAACAATCTAAAAAAACACTCCGCTATTGCAATGCATCCATAGTAACACACAACCACACAATATGGTGGGATAAAACCACTGTACTTATCATTGATTATTTATTTGTCCCTTGGGTTCTTAATGGAACATAGGGCTTCAGTAGCACGTCTCCATTACACTCTCTTCTCTGCAATCTTTTCAACCTCGCTCCACCACTGCCCACAACCTCTCATTTCTTCCTAACACCATCTCCTCCATCTCACCCTTGTCTCCGATAACCAACTCGTCGTTTCGTATCTAGGTTCCACTCGACACATTGGCCTGGCATCGTGCCTGATGTCCCCAGTCAGCCTTCTCAGTGCATGCCCAATCCAATCCATATCCATTTCCTTCCACTGCATATTTGTTGAGTGATGCCTTGTTGGTTGGTTCGTTGTCAGCCAGCCAGCCAGCCAGCCAGACACAGTGAGTTCCTTCTTACTTATTCTTACTATTCTCGCCATCTGGGCTTTAGTAACGAGCCAGTGAAGGCATTTGTTGATGAATGTCTGTAGTTTGTTGGAAATCCCTTTCGTAACACGCCGTCAAGTCTCTGAACCATACAGAAGCACTGAATTGACTGGATTGGTGTTGGAAATCCGCATCTTGTTCCACATGCTGAGTGCAGGAGATCTCCACACTGGTTTCAGATTAATCAAGGAAAGCCTGTCTTGCTTTTCCAATCCTAGCTGCTTTGACGTCTTCGTCTGTGCCACCTGTAGTTGAAACCATGCTGACTGACTAGGTAGGTGAAACAGGCTACTCGCTTTAACTTTCTGTGTGACATTAGACACAAGTCGTCGACAGCGAAATCCAAATTTTCTAGGATGCTTTCATCTGTCCAGCGTATCCCCCTCTTCTCGCTCCTCACTGTTTGTTGTATGATCCAGTCCAGTAGACCACAATCAGGAATATCATGTGTGATAGTAGACAGCCTTGTTTTGCTCCTGTCTTCACTTCCACTCCAAAGACATCACTGAGCTTCCTATCATGAATTACGTGGCATATGGCGTCTTCATATAGTTGTTGAATGAGGTTGATAAATGTTTGCGGTATTTCGTAGTGTTGAAGCAGCTGCCTGTTAAACCACTTCTTGGTCGACGCTGTCAAAGGCCTTTTCAAAGTCGATGGAGTTGAGTTTGACTTGAGTTGACTGCCATTCTATACTCTGTTGTGTGATGATGTGAAACGTTGCAATTTGATCCGCATATGATTTATACTTCCTGAATCCAGCCAGGCTGTTTCGGTTGTAATTTTGAATCCAGCTTATCCTTTAGTCTCTCCACTGTACTTAAGTTCAATATAATTAGGAGAGAGGGAGACTGATAACTGCATCTTTGTTCATCGAATCAACACCGAGCCAACACATGTAATAGGAACAGTGACACAACACCCATACCAGAGATACAGAAAATTTTACTACCAAAATAGCAAAGAATATAAGGTGTGACAGGATTATGAAAACCAGATGTCGGAGGTGCTGTGTAATTACATTGATTGATATGAATTATGAGCAATGATAATTTATGCTTGAAACATCATCAAGTAAATAATAATAATATATCGCTGTGTGTTATAGATTACATAAGCAAATCTTATATGGAGTTAAATTCTACTATAGTGCTTAAGTTTTACACTTATATTGATGCCTGGATTATTGTTTCAATACTGTTGCGTATTAAGTTAGACGCCAGGATGCGTGGATGGCAACAATACTGATCCTTGTATTGAATAACTTTAGTCTGAGTCAAGATCTAAACTTATTAAAATAAAATCAATCTCTAGCTCGTTAGTGAGAACTGCTAAGGTGTCTGAAACTAAGATAAAACAGCTGTCAATTACTGTCAGGTTTTCAGTGGTTCTTCAACTAATGAAAACTACCTTAAAAGACATTTAGCGATTTTTCTTAGAGTAGATACCTCTGGAATGAATACTTGGCTTGCAAGAACTATAAAATGATGACCCACGTTAGATAAATGAATGGCAATAACAATGTTCTGTAGAATGAGAAGAAACGAAGTAATCAACATTATCCAGATTCGTTTTCTAACCGTTAAGAGCCATTTGGTTGGTTGTGGCTAGGAGAAGAATCTAGGATGCGAGCTTCGTCCTATTTGGGACTCGTCAGCTGAATGTACCTACACCCCAGTCAGTGATGCTGTTCCCACTGAGACTCGAACCTCGTACCCATCGCTTCAAACGTCGAAGCGTTATCCACTATGATACGGAGGAACGATAGACACTTCTTGTACAACGGGCGATAGTTATTACTATTTTTATTGACATACTTGTTATTTTCCATTGTTTTGTTGGATTGAATTGTTCGACCTCTATTGGAATATGGGCCTCCTATGCGGATGCCTCGATATCGATCCAACAAAACAACGGAGAATAACAAGTATGTCAATAAATAGCACTAACAGTCATCTTAAATCTGATCATTCTACAGAGTACACTGAAATGAGAAGGAGGGGGAGTGTGATAAGTGTATTCACTTAGTGATAGTGATGTCACATTATCGAGAGAAAGATATTATTAGGCAACAATTATCAGGTGTATACTAATAAGTAAGCAGGTTTTTTTTCCCTAAAGAAATGCGTTGTAAAGCGCTTCATCAAGGAATGAATACATGGGATTATTTTTAGCCAAAGAAACTATAAAGTTCCAAATAATTATAATTACTGTTTTGGTTCATTAAATATGTTCATTCTTTAATTTAAACGTCCTGACTCACCTTCTCACCCATTAATCCTTGTCGTGACCCACCTACATATCCTTTAGGACCTTTAATTCCTGGTTCACCTGGTATTCCTTCTCTCCCTGGTTCACCAGGATCACCTTGTTCACCATATTCCCCCTAAAAGGTTAAACAAATGGAAAGACATTTCAATACATTGAATATTCCCATTTGGACATTTATAAAAAGACTGATTGAGCGAAGAAATCATATTCCTTTTCAATCAGGTCTTCATCTTGGACTCTACACTGATATATAGTTGAACGACTTAATCAAACTACCAATCATGTGGTGATGTTTTTCGGAAATAATGATGTAAATAATCAATAGAGTTACTAATATTGGAGATGTGAATATTGATAGGAAGAAGAGGAAGTGGAAGAGGTGTACAAAATAAACCTAGAAGTTACACAATGTTGACGGCCACGGTAATGAAAGTGGTCGAACAACTTCTTTTGGATACAAAAGTTAGGTTTGTAAAGGTGGATTGTAATCGCCTCTGCTATGTGAAGTAACCGAGTGCGTAATCCATGAGGTAAATTAATTAGAATTTGATGGATGATTTTAAAAGCTTTTCTAGTAACCACTTGATGCCATGTGTCAACTAAGTGTGCAAGAATGGAGCTCTTTATAGTTCTAATTTGTCCCTTGTTCAACCATGATGGGTGGTGCTCGGAAATTCAACGATGCAACTGCCTCATTGTACGCCCAATGTAACTAGCTCCATAGGAGCAGTTGAATTGATAAATGCATATAGAAGTGGCAGAACCAGGCAGCTTGTCTTTATTTCTTGCACTTAGAATCGGGCGGTTGTAGGAGGTGGGACATAATTTAGCGACTGCGAAGGTTTTATGCAAGACTCTTTTTATGCGTTGTGTGATGATCTCACTGGCAATATCACTCTTAAATTGCAGCTTCAAGAAGATTTGCTTCTTAGGAATTGTTGGTATTGTTGTCTTAACCCTTGTAATATTCGTGTGCTTAGTTACAAACTTGTCTGGAGAGCCATTCCTACTAAGCAGACCATGGATGGTGGGGCACTCTTCCTTTATAGCATTCTCTGAGCAAATAGCTGAGGCACTGTATGCTAAGCATTTCACTAGGTTCCTTTTGTATTGGAGGGGTACAGCACTAAAGAAGTGCGTATATTGATCTGTTGATGTTGGCTTTCTATTAACACTTCGCTTCAGGGTTCCATCTGACCTTCTTGCCAACAGGACAACAAGAATTGGGATACTATCATTTTTCTCCTCTTCCATTGTGAAGTTGGTTGCCGGGTGAACACTATTGAACTTATTCAGAACAGCATTCTTATCAGTCTCACTTTTGAGAACCTGTGTAACGACAATATAACTCTAAACGGCTGATAGTATCGCTCAGTGGAACATACTCAAGTTTTGCCAGAAAAAAATCCGCTAAGAGCCGGCCAAGGAGTGACCCCATAGCAACAACATCAGATTGCCGGTAGAGTTCATTATTGAGAAGAAATTGTTCATTCATCGTGCACCTCGGAAGTAGTTTTTTCAATGTGGAGACTGGAATACCTATTTCCATGCCGTGCTTCGTGAGTTCGTTGCAAATAAAGTCTACTGTCTCCATTAAAGGAACGTTAATAAAAGGAGATGAAACACCATATGAAATCATTAACTTATTATCTACCTCCAGGTCCTTAATCTTTCCAACAAATTCAGAGGCATCTTTGAGACTGTACTTCACAACTTCTTTGTGGAGAGGCTTCAAAAGTTGTACTAACCATTTAGCTGTTTTATGGTACGGAGAGTTAGTCGTGTCAAGAACTGGTGGTAGAGGCAGACCGTAAAGTCTAGGTGTAACGGTTCCAGTAGGTTTCAGCATTTCGAAGGTGTTTTCTGAAATGAAACCTTGTTGTTTTACCCTTTTCAGTGATTCAGTTAGATGTTTCTCAATTTTCCCTGTTGTATCACCATAAGCAGCTAATTTCTGAAATTTATTTTCATCACTAAGTAAAGAATTCATTTTGTCTATGTACTCTTTTTTATCCATTACAACTATTCCTGATCCTTTATCTGGCTTGGTAATCACGATATTTTCATCAGTTTTAAGCTTTTCAAGGCTTCTCTATGTTTTTTCGTTAAAATACTATTCATACTGTTCCTATTACTCGTGTACTTTAGGCAAGAGTCAAAGAGTGTAATCTTAAGTCTAGCAACGTCTTCAATAGATGATGGTACCAAACCTTTCGTCTGCGTATACATGTTCTCAAACTGTATTTCCATTTCCATCTTACTAATCCTATTAAGACTATCACAAAAGTTTGGTCCAAGTGACATAACTTCTAATTGTATAGCATCAAGATCGATACTAGAAAAATTATGCACAAGCTGACCCGGATTAGTTGGGAATCTCATCTCTGGTGTACGATTTTCAAAAGTTTTGATCAACACTTAATGCGCTTCTTTTCTTTCCGTGCATTGACCATATTCATCACATAACTCAAAAATTCCTGCCTTAAATTTTCCGTAAGCTCTTCTACAACATGAAATCTGTCTGTAGTATTTTTCAGCATTTCAGTAGAATAAGATCTTAGAGAGTCAATCTGATTCAGAGTATAACGTTTCAGTGTTCTTGTACTGGGTTGAATCCTGGAGCGTTGTAAAGATTTCCAATATTCCTCAGGGTAACGATTCGTTGAAATGCATTTGTCGATATATACTGAATTGAAATAGTCTGAAAATCAAGATAATCAGTTTAACAGAACTACAAATAATCAACTATAAAATATATCGAAATGAATTGTAGATTAGATAACTTTTATATCTTACTGGTTCACCATCACATCCATTGTCTCCTTTTTCGCCTTTTATGCCTCGAATACCAGGATGACCCTATTTATATATCAGATTGAATTAACTTGACACTTACTATATCACCATCTTTACCGGCATAGCCTGGTTCACCAGGTAAACCCTGAGTAAAATAAGATAAACATTTAAATAAATCTACAATAAAACTATTATATTGTTTAATAAAACTTTTTTTATTGAAAAAAGATAAGGAAAACTTGTTTAATCCTTGTTAGGTAATTAAAGTCTATTAGACGGTAGAAATCAGTCATCAGGTTTCATGCTTTTGGCAATTAACAGCAAAATGTATCTACATCTGTCAGGAAACTCAAACTCTTTACAGAGGTAGGAATTTATGTGACTCACTGGTTGAATTCACAGGCTCTACCACGAAGCTACTCAGGTCATAAATAGTTTTCTTTAAGTATGAGATTGTGGACATTTTTATCTAACCATTAGATCCTATTTGTTGAATATTGGTCCAGGTTCACCTTTAAAATTTTCATTGTGATCATTAAGCTTAATGATATGGCCATGTGGGTATTATTGAGTAGAACACGCCAAACAGGCTGGGTTTAGGAGATATAAGTCATGTGCGGACCAAATTCCATTGCTACGCATCATCAGGGAACAGAGCACAGAATAGCAGGCAACTTCATCGACTTTGAAAGGCCTTCGACAGCGTCGACCGAGAAGTAATTTGGCCGGCGGCTGCTTCAACAGCTATATGAAGACGCCATATACCAAGCGATTCACAGTGGAAAGCTCAGTGATGCCTTTAAAGGAAGACAGGAGTAAGACAAGGCTGCTGTCTACTATCTATCACCAATGGTCTCCCTCATAGTGGATGACTAGATTGGATCGGGCAGGAAACTGTGAGGAGCTGTGGGAAGATGGGCATACACTGGCTGGACCGATGGGAAGATCCTCGAAGATTTGAATTTCGCCGACGATAATGATCTATGTCTAATGTCTTGTTGCACAAACTCGAAGATCTATAGAAAAAACCAACAAATTGACAGAAGAGTTGAGGCAGCGAAGAAAGACGGGACTTCAAGTGAATGCAGAGAAGATACATGTAATGAAGATACCCAAACAACAACAACAACAACAACAGCAACAACAAGCACCAATCGCCATCAACAGAAGAAACCTAAAGGAAGTAGCCTCTTTCACCTACCTACGCAAGGCAGCATTGTTTCAACTAGAAACCACAGCAAAGATGAGGACGTCAAAGCAACCAGGATCAGAAAGACAGCAAGACAGGCCTACCTTCATCAATCTGAAATCAGTGTGGATATCTACTGCACTCCACTCAGCATAAAGTGTGAACAACATCCAGATTTCCAACACCAATCCAGTCAAATCAGTGCTTCCATGTGATGGTTGAGAGACTTGACGGCGCGTTACGAAAGGCATTTCCAACAAACTACACACATTCATCAACAACTGCCACCTACGCTCACTCGATACTGACACTGAAGAACAGATGGATGGCCAGAATAATAAGAATAAGCAACAAGGAACTCACTGGCTCGCTGGCTGGCTGGCTGGCTGGCCGGTAAGGAACAAACCAACAACCTATCGCTCAATAAATATGTAGAGGAAAGTGGAGATGGATTTGAGTGGATATACACTGAGAAGACGGTTTGGGGACATGAAGCGTTAGACCAGCCCCTCTAGTGGAATCCAGAGGGGAAACAACGAGTTGGGCATGCGTGTGTGACATGGAGGAGATCATATGAGGAAGAAATGAAAGCTTGTGAGAAATCATGAAGCCAGGTTGATAAGACTGCAGAGGAGAGAGTGAGATGGCGACATGCTAGTGAAGCCCTATATTCCACTGGGTACCCAAGGCGCAAATAATAATAAAAAATACTAAATACACGTCGAACGACAGGAAGCTCTAGGCTTGACTTAAAGCTCAACATGGAATAAATGTGTATAGTCGGCGTTGGCTGAATAATGATAATGATAACACGAACTCGTGACTTCCATGGAAATCCCACTCTTTAGTGCCAGAAGAAATACCTTACGAAAATATGTGACTGCATGTACTCATATCTAAAATTCAGTTCATTAATTCACTAAGAAAAATGTGTATCTCAGTAGTTTTATATATGTGAGTTTGCAGAATGTAGAATAATTTGTTTTGTTGTAGAAAAGCTTAAATGATTACTAGTCTGTTGTGTCAATATTATGGCAACATTTCAGTGTTGACTACAAAACCAAGAATGAAAAACATAGTAAAATTTCGTTCGGATCCGTTAAACCGTTTTTGACACTTTATTCTTTCTAGAGAAAAGGCAAATAGCTCGCAGGTAATTTTTTACAGCTTCAGATTAACACATTTATTGTGAATTTCACTCCTATTTTCGGTTAAGCTCTGATTTCCACGATGAACATCGTCTCAACCCGGAGAATCGGTCTCCTCATCGACCAGGAAACATCTGTTAGCCACGCAATCAAATGAAAACGAACATTTCTGCTAGTGCACTCTGCTAACATTCCCTCAGAACTGATCAGTGAATTCCTCCCTCCCAACTGACAGACTGACGCATCTGCGTTCGCCGTGTAATAGGCTCTTTGAGTGTACACACCTCACGTTCGGCAGACGTGTGTCATGTACAATTCATTGGTTATCTACAATCTTGCAGAAGATTATGCAACGCACCTTTGTGAAAGAAGCAGAGGCTCCTAGTAAATTACCCAAGAAATACGCTTTGGATACAGGGGACGATAACCAACATTTCGTATCGAATACTGCCCCATATTTTCAAGGTGAAGCATACCATTTCTCTTGGGACTGCTTCAACAACAATGAATACCGGAATTAGGAAGCTGGATTCCCTTACTTTTTATTAGCCCACTGCTCACAGCTCAATAAACTGAGTCCTGACGGTCAGCTGGTTTGTCTATGTTTTGGAGATCCGTGCTACTCATCAGCTTACATGGATCTCGTCGACCGCCAAGACTGCAAGAGGAGGTTCATTACAGTTGTGTAACTATGCTCAACCAGTATTCACCAGTGCACATATTACCTCCGGTTATCCTAGCCAGCGGATCAAACAACCCCACCCCACCATAGTTACTCCAGCTAACACAATTATTGGTAAATTTTGACTTTTTCTTTCTGTTACTCATTGGTATTAGTTAAGCAAATACTAAAACTCAGCTGTCGAATCTCTAAATAATACATAACTATGAAAGTTTTGTGTTTTATGGCATCAAATGTCTTTTTCGACTCCATGCCTCCTACAGTAAAACATTGTAATATTCTTCAGAATTACTCATAATGACAAACATGTAGCGTAGCTGACTGACTGAAGTTGTAATTCTTTTGAGAATCTCAGTTGTTCGTCTTCAAGATATTCATGAATATTTATCACCAATCTGAAGTTTCATATAAAAAATGTATACAGATTTTAGAACATATGTTAATTACTGTAATAACTTATGGATAAAATAAATAAATGCTGACAAACCTTTTCACCTTGGGGACCTATTGCACCAGGGATACCATGTTCACCTTTCTCACCCTGGGTTCCAATCAGTCCAACAAGACCTCGATCACCTGGAAGCCCTTCGGAACCGCGTACACCCATTGGACCAGGTTGTCCCTGTTTAAGTATAGAAATTTTCAACAAAAATTAGCATTTTGTTCAAAGTTATTTGACAGATAATAAACATTTTCATTCATATTGATAATACTGTAGACATTTTTTTGGATATTCAAGATATATTTCCCAGAAAAACTAAACTGGCTGTAAACTGAAAATTGAAAATTGTGCTACTAATCTGAATAATTCGATATGAAGTGCATCAACACGACTACCGACCCTATTCACTCTCCCCAATTCAGACACGAAATAAGTTTATTAATGATGCATAGTGGCTAGTAGTGGAATCTAAGATGCACGTTTCGTCCTATTTCGAACTCGTCAGCTAGGTGCACTTGCCTCCCAGTAAGTGATGTTGTTCTTACTAGGACTGGAACTGGAAACCAATCGCTTCAAACGATAGAGCACTATCCACTAGACCACTGAGTCATGATAGGCACTTTTTGTGGGACGAATATATAGTTTTAATGCTATTGCTTGTATTATCCCATCGTTGAGTGGACCGAATTGATCGGTCTCTATTGACATATGAGCCTCTGCTCGGATGTCTTGTTATTGCTTGTGTTTGAAATGTATATTAATGATGGTTAGTCGCTAACCATGGAATCCACTCAACAGCCGGATAATACAATCAACAATAATCAAAACTGAGTTTATCTCTACATCAGAGCTGGAATGAATAAGCTTTTTTCGAGTTATCCTTTGAGAAACTGTGGAAATCCAGAACATATTATGAAAAATTAGTGTTTAATAAGGCATTCGTACAACATTGAAACATTCTCTTGATTACCAGGCCTACGGAATGACGAACAAAACACAGCTGTCAACTTCGCTTCAATTCTAGTTCGAATATCGAGTGTTTTTACCGACTGTACCAGTACCATATTAGCCAATTAGTTGTCTTTTTATGTCTTATAATTGTTTTCAGTCTAGTTTATAAAATGTCCTAGAGGTAGATAAAGACATGTGTATTACTCGAAGAATGAGAAATCGAAAAAATAGAGGAAGATGACTTACCGGTATCCCTTGCGGTCCTACGCATTGACATTTCTCCGGAGCACAAACTATTGCACATCGATCCAAATCAGATTGCTGAAAGAATTCGAGGAAAAGAAGAAAGATGCAAAGGATACAGTCGACATAACATTTATTCATGATGATTCAGAATACGGTAATAAAGAAGTTTACTAGTTCTATTCAGTTCCACCTAATTGATACTGGTCATAATGTTGACATTAAGTCTCCTATTTGATTATCCCACAAGATACCAAAGGGAATGCAACAAGCAGTAAAAGTTCGACTCTTTCAAACTGCTGAAGCTATTCTAATAAAAATCATGACACCTGAGTTCTATGAGCATAAACGACTCAAACATTCTCTTATTCTTCCATGGTCATCTAAAAAGATGGAATTTATACATTTTAGGTAAACAATGTCGCAAATAACTTGTTCCTATCATCATGATTTACGTTGGGAATAACCAATTACGAATAACTTTAAAGACCAGCCTGGCAACTACTGAATCGACCAATCAGGCTTCAGTATTTTTCTAAAAAAGTACTTTTCTATAAAATACTGGAATTTAATTGGCTATCTTATCAGTGTTACTGGGGTGACTTTTAAAGTCATTCACCAATTACACTTCATTTTATGAAAATTTGCCTTTCCAGCTGAAAGAAACAAACCTATGTGACTAGTTTAGTCGTTGCCAGGAGGGCCTATACTTTCACTCCCTGTTATGATTGTTTATTTTAATTCACTTGTAATTGATGATCCTCATACTTGTTTATCTGTTTATATCCTAATTATCCAAAATCTTGTAAAAATAAGACTCTTACACAATTTTTTTCTAATAATTCGCTTAATGTAGAGATAACTGTCGAAATTCTTATAACTCCTTCTTGTGTGTTTGTTTTTAATGAAAATCTGAGCCTCAGCATGTTACCAGCCAGGTGCACAACCAAATGATTTACGTATTCTCTCAATTTCTCGTCATTTCAAAACAGTGATAATAGGATTCTTCAGTTAGTCGGTTACAGAAGACATTCTATATTAGATTTATTTATTCAATATACAGTACACAGTGATATAGTATTAGTTACTTGATGATGTTTCGAGCATAAATTATTCCTTATAATCATATCACTTTAATATGATATCAGCTGGAGTTTATGTGAAAACCAGAGTACACCGACTAGCTATTTTGTTCTAGCACGGGACACCTCAGCAGTGAGTACCCATGACCCCACCAAGGGCTGAACTCCCCACCTAAAGGTCTTGTTTTGAGCAAGTTACCATTGACTCAGTGATCCACCTTTCCCTACTTCTCTCAGTTCATGAAATAAGGTGACTATTAGGCAAAGCGTTCGTTGATTATTGGTCTCAACTGGTCAAGACTTTTTGCTAGAACATTAGGAAATATCAAGTAGAAGTATGTTATTAAGATACACTAAACATTAGTTCAGTTTGAGCACTACTTCGAAATTAAAAAAACTCCTACAAACCTCTAAATTAAAATTTTATTTTTGTCAAGTTGCAATCCATTGAGTTAACATCTGCTTACTTCAGACAGCTCCTGCATAGTACAACAGTCACGTACATGAAATAATTTTTAACCAGTATCTTAGTGTTTCAATGTTTCAACCAAGAACCTATCACTCAACAAATATGCAGTGGAAGGAAATGAGGATGGATTGGATTGGGCATACACTGAGAAAGTCGACTGGTGAAATCACCTGACAGGCAAGCCAGTCGCTCGAGTGGAACCCAGATAGGAAACGGCAAGTTGGGCGTCCAAGCTGAGGGTGAGGTGGGGGAGATGGTGTGAGGAAGAAATGAGAGGTTGTGAGCTGTTGTAGATCCAGGTTCAAAAGATTGAAGAGATGCTACTGAAGTCCTATGTTCCACTAGGAACCCAAGGGACAAATAATAAAATAATAATGATAAAATTCTAACGTAAACGAGAACATGACATCAATTTTAGACATTCATGTTAAACTATCATAATTTATACGAATTCAATGATGAATTCAATAATGATTGACTTAAAGAAATTTACTGTTACATATTATGAAAAGTGGATTATAAGAAAATGTCAAGGTCATCTACATTGACACTTGAAATAAGCGCCAAATTTTTATTTATTATTTCCTTGAAATTGTCATTGTGTTTACATTTTTATAAAATTTACTCCACTTTTATTTCACCATAAAAAAATATTTTGAAAATGTACAAATTTTTCTATTCGAAAATGTCCATTGTCTACAAATATGACATTTATATTGTTTTATATATATAAGTAAACAACTTAACATCACGCAATCTAACATATTGACATACATTTTTCTGTGTGTTTTTGTGTGTGATTGTCTTTCTTTTGTAAATAATTCAAAGTGATTACCTAAGAAAAACCTTTTGAAGTTCATTGTTCAAAAAACTAAAATGTCAGATTATTGTTGATTCATATCATTGCCTAAAAATAGTATTTCAAAGAATTTCTGATGTTGTACAGCATATAGTTCATACAGAAAGTGTCCAAAATACAGAATGGTATTCTAGGAAAAATGAATGAAATCGACTAGTATGAAATTAATTTTTACTTTCAATATCTTCAATAGTGATCTTGCTTACGATTCATCAAATGTATGTACCTTCATTTAATTGTAGATTTTTAGTGCCATATAAATGCTACAGTTAGATGTCTTCCAAATGAGTATTAAAACTACCGCCTTGTATAAGTTTGCATTAATTTCTACCACAGATACAAAGTTGTAGGAAAAAGTCAACTTATCAATGTATATGTTTTAAAATGATACAGTGTGAAACTTTATGAAGAAACTGCTTGAACAGTAATCAAGGAAACTTGCAGTATGGTAAGGCATACATTTCACTTTAATCCGTTTATTAAGAAAGTTAGGAAGTTGACCCCGATCGACTAATTTGACCTCACAATTACGGCAAGAGATTTATTAGATTATATTTGTAGGTTAAACTACCATTTTAATCCCAGCCTTATTGACAATACTTCTGAGATGCCTTCCTTGTACAGTAACACAGTATAGGCGACGAAATCTCTCTCAACCCTGTTACCAATATTACAATCACTACCATAATTATTACTGAATATACCATCCACTAAATTACTACTACTTCTAATATTCTTCCTTCAATTCTTAATGAATTTATTTATAAATTTGGGTGGGCACTACTCTTGACCTTCTGAATGGACATTCAATTATTGTCCTACAGTATTATGAGTTAAACAGTAATATGAATAAACTTTCGTTAGTGAATATTATCTTTACAGCTTCATTTGTGATAGATATATTAGAGTTCTGTAGTGTTTTGAATATTAGACATATTTTCCTTATTTGTGACTTTCTCTATGATTACAATTGTGGTATTGTTATTTCTAGTGTAGATCAAGTACTAGTATGTGTACATATAGTATTTCAGGTTTCATACTTATTTCATCATCATAAAAAAATGGGTAACTTCAGTTTGGAGGTTTGTTGGGATTTATTGACTTCGAATTGGTATTCCTCACACACTGATATCAGTTAGAGAAACCATGGAAACCATCAGCAATGCGCAAACATGATCCTGCCCCTCCAGGGATCGAACCCAAGGCCTATAGGTCCCACAGCCAACAAGTTACCATTGGACCACTGCGTTGGCATCCAATGATCCATACTTTCAACTTCTGTCAGTTTACCATATAACCCTATCTCCATCTAATTCTGTCACTGAGTACCTGTCCTCACGTCTGACTTCATTGGTCCCATAGCTCACAACTTCTTACTAGATGTTCGTGAATCTCATCCCGAAGCAAGTCACTGATGAGCACTAGAATTATTCATTTTGGAGGTTTGTGGGGATTTATTGATTGATTTTCGGTCGGTATTCATCAAGGACCAACATCATTTGGATAAACATGGAGGAACCTGAACGTCCTAGGCTCGATTCCTGGCTTGATGGAGTCATTTTTATGCTCTCCAAGAAGTCTCAAACTAGGACAATACAACTGTCCATTGGTTCCAGGTTCTCAATATTTCTCCAACTAGTATCAGTCCATTATGAATACCAACCTGAAATAAAGATGTAGATTATTTCAGTTCACTAAACCGGGTGAACTAATTTTTGATGAAGGTTTCTTTAAACAGTGTTCATTTGTAATTCCAGAAGTTCACTTTAAGCGAACCAAGCCTACTATGAACAGGAAAATATCATTGTTTACTAGAATTTGAACAAACATGTATGCTGAAATACCTTCCTACTTGCAAGTTAAGAAATACTAAAGTCACGATAAGTTGTAAAGACTAGAGAAATCTCAAGAAGTAACTACATTTTGTGAATAAAATGTCGTATTATGGTCAACAGATAATCAAAGGACAGTTTTTACAGCAGCTTATAAACACACTTTTTCTGCACCTTGTGCTTACATTTTAAATGTTCAGCAATTACTAAAGGAAATGGTGGATCAATCTATTTTCATGTTGACTGAATTCCTAAAATAAAATCAGTCTATCCGACAATTACTATAACTAGACTATATTAGACTATCTTCGTAGGGTTGGGTTAGGGTATGATATATTTAAATGATGAATACCGACTTAAAATCAATCAATAAATCCCCACAAACCTCCAAAATGAATAATTCTAGTGCTCATCAGTGACTTGCTTCGGGATGAGATTCACGAACATCTAGTAAGAAGTTGTGAGCTATGGGACCAATGAAGTCAGACGTGAGGACAGGTACTCAGTGATAGAATTAGATGGAGATAGGGTTATATGGTAAACTGACAGAAGTTGGAAGTGTGGATCATTGGATGCCAACGCAGTGGTCCAATGGTAACTTGTTGGCTGTGGGACCTATAGGCCTTGGGTTCGATCCCTGGAGGGGCAGGATCATGTTTGCGCATTGCTGATGGTTTCCATGGTTTCTCTAACTGATATCAGTGTGTGAGGAATACCAATTCGAAGTCAATAAATCCCAACAAACCTCCAAACTGAAGTTACCCATTTTTTTATGATGATGAAATAAGTATGAAACCTGAAATACTATATGTACACATACTAGTACTTGATCTACACTAGAAATAACAATACCACAATTGTAATCATAGAGAAAGTCACAAATAAGGAAAATATGTCTAATATTCAAAACACTACAGAACTCTAATATATCTATCACAAATGAAGCTGTAAAGATAATATTCACTAACGAAAGTTTATTCATATTACTGTTTAACTCATAATACTGTAGAACAATAATTGAATGTCCATTCAGAAAATCAAGAATATTCCCAGAAAACTAAAAAAAGGAAATTCAGAATCATTTAAGAGATATCTAAACGTGTTGCAAGAGTTCCCATTGGTACTTCTTAACTATCATAAGATCAAAGAAGTGGCTAGCAGTGGCTCAATGGTGTAGTGGATAAGGCTCTTGCGTTTGAAGCGATCTCTCCCGGGTCCGAATCCCGATGGAAACAACATCACTTATTGGGAAGTAGGTACATTCAGCTGACTGGTGAGTCTAAATAGGACGAAATATGCATCCTGGATTTCACTGCTAGCCACCATCCATCAATAACATAATTATAACTCAGGCAATATCAAGGCATCCGCACAGGAGCCTATATGCGAATAGAAACCGATCAATTCGGTGCAAGCAACGATGGTATAAAAAAGGAATAACACTACAACTATACCCATTGCACAAGAAGTGGCTATCGTGGCTCGGTGGTGTAGTGGGTAACACGCGCTGGCGTTTGAATCGATCGCTTTTGAGTCCGAATCCCGGTGGGAACAATATCACTCACTCGGAAGCAGGTACATCCAGCTGACTGGTGAGTCCTGAATAGGACGAAATACTCATCATGGATTTCACTGCTAGCTACGATTCATCATTAAGATCCAAAGTATAACCTATTTTGATTTGATGGTAAAAAATCATGTTTCTTTTTCGATGATATCATTTTCTACAGTTGTACGTACAATCATGTATATAAATCTATCACAAACATGTAACTGTCTGTTATTAAACAATGGGGTATAGTTGAACTGTTAAGTTAATGGTAAACACTGAAATCAAAACTGGGAAGGAGTTGTGTAGTAGTAGAAATAATGAGGAAGGCAAGGTGTTTAACAAGATGAAAATTATTTTTGTTCTTTCTATATGAAATCTGATAAATTAGTGTTCATTTAATAGGTATAAAGAAAGTGAAGAAAGAAACAAGAATCAAAATGAAGGTGATAACAATAAACTAACTAATTATAGTGAAATCGAGAAATATTGTAAAAGTATTAAAATCATAGTAAGATAAGAGATTGGATATATTTTTTGTGCATACAGAAATAATAGTTGAATTAATGAATTGGTAATGCTTCAACAATAGTACAGAACTGTTGAAAGTATACTCCTTTTGAATTGTCCCCTTTGACTCAAAAAATCACAGTAAAAGGGGTCTGAAATGAAGCTTTACGTTCAGAGTTGACTAAATGTTCAAGAAGTGGACTGTTTTTAACATTAGCCTAATGAAATGCAACTATACCGTATTATTTGATAATAGACTGTTATAAATTTTATGATATACATAAATATGATTGTACACCTTTAGAAAATGATATCGTTAAAAAGGAAAATTATCTTCATTCAATTATCTCTGCATTTCTTTACAACTTGTTCAGCTTGTTTCATCGGAAATATACTTTTTAACAGATTAAGTTAAGTGAGGAGATTTGCAGGCATATATTGCCTGTCGTCAACTAAATAAACAAGCAACAAGTGTTAAAAAGAAACAGGATTTAATGACTACATAAATTTCAGTAGTACTCGTCAGTTGGATACTCCACATACTTGATTAGATATACCGTTAAGCAATGGAAAGGAGTATAAATACATACATATATAAAATAGACTGAGATATCGATTTAGGTGTAACAACATAGAAGTGAATAGTTTTTACAGGTTAAATGGTAATCCAGAAGATAGAAATGTATATTCAAAATTGAATGGGTTGGGGATAAGTTAGTTGAGTTTGGATAATAGTGGGTTTCAGGTAGGAAAATGATTATGATGACAACTTCAATTTCTGTCAATTCACGATGATATAGTGCGACTATCACTCAAGGTCTTCAGTTGGCATCCGCTTCTCTTCCAACTGACTGACCCCACTGGTCAAGGCTTCTAATTAGAGCTTCATGATATCCATCTAGAAGCAAGTCATCAATGAGCACTATACAGTAATGTATTTTTGAAATGAATGGGGATTTTTTAATTTGGAGGTAGTATTCATCATGCATATCATGAAGTTCTAATGAGAAGTCGTGACCTGTGGGGTTAACCAGTCGGAAGTGAAGTGGATGCTAACTGAAGACCTTGGGTGATAGTCGCACTATATCATCGTGAATTGATAGAAGTTGGAGATTGTGAACCAGTGGAAACCGACCCAGTGGCTGAATGGTTGACATGTTCGCCGTGAAACCTGAAGGTGCTGAGTTCGATCTCTGCCCGGTGGGGTTGTGGGTGTGTACTGCTGAGGAGTCGCATACTAGGACGAAACAGCTGTTTTCAGTGGTTCCCCAACTGATGTCAGTCCATCATGAATACTACTTCTAAATTAAAAAATCTCCATTCATTTCAAAAATATCAACAATAATGTTGACACAGGGGGAGAACTGAGTCGATTGCGTGTCGATTACGATATTGAAAACGAGATAGTTAATAGTACTTATGCATTCAATAAGATAACAAGGAATATATTGAGATGAATAATAATGATATCATTGGTAATAGGAATAAGGCTAATTAGACAAAATAAATCAGGGAAGGAAAACAAAATATGAGATTAGTGATAATTAATACCGAAGAGTAAATAAGACAGATTGAATATGATTAGACAATGTTGAAATGATTACCACGGCAGATTCAGTCTGACTACCATTTCCTTCTCAATGCAGAGGTTTCGTTTGACAACCAGAATCGCACAGTCTTCTGCATATCCATGCAACTTCTTATTTAGCTGTCTACTGATAACCTTAAAGGACTTACATGTATCAATATCATGTCGATAATCCATTAGATGCTTCGTTATCGAGCTCATCGGGGTCTTCTTTTCATCATGCTTCAACCATTTGCGTAGCTGCTAAACTTTTCGGGTGGATAGACGCCTCTCCGTACGACCAATGTATTTGCCTCCGCAGGTACATTCGAATTCATATACATGCATTTAGATGTGTCAAGGATCGGAGTCCTATCTTTCCCTGATTGTTACAGTACACTTTTAGTGGTGCTGAGAAGAACGAGTTTAGCTGCATAGTAAGTCCTTCCCATAGACTTCTTCTACCTGAAATCCACTATTATCCAAACTCAACTAACTTATCCCCAACCCATTCAATTTTGAATATACATTTCTATCTTCTGGATTACCATTTAACCTGTAAAAACTATTCACTTCTATGTTGTTACACCTAAATCGATATCTCAGTCTATTTTATATATGTATGTATTTATGTTCCTTTCCATTGCTTAACGGTATATCTAATCAAGTATGTGGAGTATCCAGCTGACGAGTAAATTTATGAAATCATGAGATCCTGCTTTTTTAGCACTTGTTGCTTGCTTCAAATTTGTATCGGGAAACAAATGTTTTCAATTAAATTTTGAGGGAGTTGTTAGGATTTGGAAATATTTCAAGTTGTTATTCATCGCAGACTGACATCATTTGGAGGAACAAAGGAAACCTCGGAGCACTGGATAGCTGTTTCACCCCGGTATAGGACACCTGGTGGGTGCTCACTGCTGAGGAGTCTCATACTAGGACGAAACAGCTATGCAGTGCTACCAGGTTTCTTTTGTTCCTCTAAATGATGTCAGTTTTCAATTAAATAAACGATAGGAGATTTTCTAGTCTACCCGAAGGATTTCAATGTCACCTTTTAATAATTTTTGTTACTTTATTGAGGAATATCACTGCAAACATTTATTCACCAGTGATAAATTAATTTGTTGTTGTGGCAAATTATATCATATAAATGTTTTACTAACTATAAAATACTTATAGATTTGATCAACAACAACTTACAGATCTCACTAGTTGAATTATCAATACAAGGTAGGCTCCAATTAAATGAAAGGATGGTTGTAATGATTTTCTGTGGTAAAAAAAGAATGGAAACAGTATCAAGAGATGAATAAATCTATTTACAATAAGTACTATGTAGATGAAATCAATCCTATCGTGATCCCTCTGCCGTTATTACTCCAAATTATTAGATTTTCTTAGCAGTAAAATTAATAGGATTGATAGTTGGTGGTTGAAAGTGAAATGACAAGTTGGTTCCTTACTCATTTCAAATTAACAGTCTCCAGGTGATCCATTTGAAGTTGTAACGAATGAGCAACAAAGTTCCTTCTCTTGATCATATCTCAGACTTGTTTTAGTCACAATGGAGTGTTATTGAAGCTAAGATTATTCTGTCACATAAGTCACATATAAGTCCATCAAAACCATTACAAACTCATATAGTTTCACCAACGGTTACGAATGCAGAAGGAAGTGGAGATGGATTGAGCATGCACTGAGAAGGCCGACTAGGGACATCATGCACCATGCCAGGTCAGGGTGTCGAGTGGAACCCGCATGGGAAACGAGTTGGGCGTCCCAGCTGAGGGTGACATGGAGAATATCGTGCGAGGAGGAAATGAGAGCTTGTTGGCTGTCGTGAAGCCAGGTTCAAAAGTTTGCAGAGAAGAGAGTGGAATAGAGACGTGTTAGTTAAGCCCTATGTTCCACTAGGAAGGAACCCAAGGGACAAATAATATATAACGATTACCGATATTATTTAACACAAACCCGGTGGTCGATGGTTGGAATCTTATCTTCAATCATCACCCAGTACAAACGTTTCATGCTGATTCATTTGTTGTGAATGATTTACAGTCTTAGCAGACTTCAGGATAGAAATTTGGCCTGATAAAGTTGATTAAGTTAAGCATTGGATCGTTTATTTAGTGAAGAAGTAACTTCCACAAGGTGGCGATATCACATTTTGTTGAATACATAATAACAATTTCTACTGGAAAAAAACAACTTCAGTGACATAATTACCTGTTCATCATGAACAACAATACTCATTCAACCATCTACTTAAATCATGAATGTACAATTCAGATATTCATGGAGCAATTGAAACTCTTAGTTCCCTTTTTATGGGTTTAATAAAGAAGCTTAGCATGCTGGTTATCAGCTGTAACCATTCAAATAGTTCTACAACAAGATTTATGCATGAACCTTTTAGATATTTTAAACACTTCAGGAAAACGATAAGTAGGCATTTATTTAAGTTTTCTTCATTGTACAGTGAAATGCACCAAAATATTGATCAGAGTGTATTTGTCAATAAGCAGAAAATCACGATAGGGTTATGTGAGTATTCACTGAACAAGATGAATATAAACAAACAACTTAGTAGTTTACTTGATTGTGGTTAGCAGAGGAATCTAGAACGTGCGTTTCGCTGCGTTTGGAAATCATCGGCTGGATATAACTGGACCCCAGTCAGTGATGCTCTCACTGAGATTCGAAGCTCGTACACATAGCTTCAGACGCCGAAGCCTCATCCACCAACCCACCTCTTGTACAACAAGTCCGGATAAACCCCAGTTGACTAGTTCCAAAAAGGACGAAACGCACGTCTTAGATTCTTCTGCAAGCCACAACCAAGTAAATTGCTATCATAAATATTCAGACGATATCGAGCCCATCTATTAAACAGAGGTTAAACAATTCGGTCCACTATAACAAGGGAGAATTACTATCAGTTATAAATGAATAAATTATTTACACTTCTAGACAGCACTAAAATTCTCTAGAGTTACGTACCCCTTAGTTGTATGTCACAGGTATTACAGTTTGGTGTAGTGATTAGTAAAACTGAAGATTCAGTGTATGATCCCAAGTTAGGCTTCTTCTAAGATTCTCTAACCCAGGCACAAAGAGTAATGGTTTTCGGTAAATGATATCACATTACTCAGTATTACCAATCAGGTGTACAGTTCAATTATACAATCAAAACAGGCATATTTTTTTATTAGATAACTAGAGATGTTTCAGACATTTTTCATTCATTCATATTGGTGGCCAGTTACTATGACAAAAAGTTAATTTTGAACTTTATGCCACTATTTTGTCCTATCCGCGGCTTAAATCTCAGCTTTATTGATTCAGATTACAAAAGTAGAAAGAGTTTCCACAAGGCAATGGATGGCAGCAAACTCATTATCTTTATGAAAGACTTTCCATTGAATACCTTCAACTGTTGACGATGGACATCGACCTTCAGATGAGATTTTACACAAAACAACTATCCAATGCTCTAGGGCTTTTAATGGTTCGCCAATTGATATTAGTCCATGATGAATACTACCTTCAAAATAAAATCCTCACTGACCTCATAATAAATTTGTAGATATTATCTTTCTATATGGTTCAAAAACTTGGTGCGTTACGAAAAGCATTTCCAACAAACTACAGACATTTGTTACAACTGCCACCTACGCTGGCTCGTTACTGACACTAGGGATCAGATGGATTGCCAGAATAATAAGAATAAGCAACAAGGAACTCACTGTGGCTAGCAACGAACCAACCATGAATCTATCACCCAACAAATATTCAGAAGGAAGTGGAGATGGATTGGATTGGGCATTCACTGAGAAGGCTGACTGGAGACATCACGCGACAGACCAGGCCAGGTCGTCGGGTGGAACCCAGATGAGAAACGGCTGGTTGGGGTTCGATATGAGGGTGACATAGAGGAGATGATGTGAGGAAGAAATAAGAGCTTGTGGGCTGTCATGGAGCCAGGTTGAAAAGTTTGCAGAGAATAGAGTGTACTGGAGAGGTACTACTGAAACCCTATGTTCCACTAGGAAGGAACCCAAGGGACAAATAATAATAATAATCTTTCTATTATCAAAAAAATACCAAAAAATAGTTTATGAAATTTAACTTTCTAATCAGTTTGTCAATGTAAATGAATAATTTTAAACTTGCCCTTTGAATAATACACCGGAAATGGTCATTTTCCCTCATGAAATGAGATTGTATAGTTGGATATCTTTTGTTTCCAAATAATGCTGAATTATATAATCGACAATTGGAAAAAAAGGAAGACAATTGTAATGTATTCTATTCTTATTGTGTACGTATTATTAATTCCAGAATGTGAATTGTAATCTTTGAATGGAGAATAGTGGAAATGGCAGTTTTAATGACTGATAAAGAAGTTTTACACTGGAAAGTACCAAAAAACAAAATTGTCACCGTTTTTCTAACTTTGTGTCACACATATCCTGACAAATAATCGATTTCACTTCAAAATCCCCATGACCTGATCGTTGGTTTATGGTAAAAATGGTATTTATGTATGCATGTATATTGTACTTATATATTAACATGTGTTTGTGTGTATATACATGTGCGTATCTTTATGTATATATACATATATGCATATACATGGATGCCCATTTGTGTTACTTGACCTAGACACACCATGTAGGCACTGTGTAATTCAGTTTTCCTGTCTTCTTCAAGTAGAACATAAATATAGGGTGAAACTACTACTCATCGAAGGCAAACAGTAAATTCCACTTGAAATCGTCTTGTTTATAAATGTCATATACACGATATATATATGTATGCATTGAAGCCAAAAAGTTTATGATTCAAGGTGGATTACTTTCTAGTTGCCTCGGTCCATACAACAAGGGAGATAGATGATAGACACAAGTAGAAAATGTTACGCCTGTCTAGTGTGCACCATGAAATCCATTTCACAGCCCTACCAATCATCAAAGATTTTATATCCTCTCCTCATATGTCTAAACTATGACCACTAGATGAGTGTACACAAAATTTTCAATGATAACAAAAACAATAACAACCAACGATTATGTCTGACCTACACAACCTATTATGGGTACCCTTTTTAGCATTCGGTATCCTAAAGATAGAAAAAAAAACCATACAAAACACATGTGTTCGAGTAAAACTGGTTGCCTAGCCTACACACAACTGATCATATGCTAGATAGGCGTACGAATGTATGCAGATACCGTTTCCAAAAAGGATAGATATTACTAGTCTGTTATTCATCAGTAGTATGCAGTGGTTAGCGTTTCATATGGACGATTATTTGGGACTAAGCCAGGAGCATTATAATATGGAAAAATCTTAGGGTTTGAAACAATGGTGAGGAGTGTAAGCAAACGTGTCACTAATCAACCAATGGATTATATGGGTTTACATGCAGACACTAAAAATAACTAAAGCTTGAAACCCAGTCAACAGATGGAAAACAGTCAAAAAATGATACAATTAAGATCTTTTGTACGATTTCCAGGTTATTTCTTCAGTGAAAGATATCAGAGCAAGAAAAAGGGTTGTGACCACTCCTGTAAACGGAAGTCAAGTTGTCAAGCATGTAGTCACTCTGATGGAGGCAACCAAGCTTCCCAAGCCCAATGTAGATGAGATACAAATTCCCAGAGTGGACTGGTCTCTAGATACCCTGGCGACTCCACCAACAGCTAATACTGTACACTCGATGTGATGTAGCCTGTATCATAACCTCTTTACGGGAGAAAAGGGTTTTCAGAGGCGATCCCCGATTGACTGAACTCTCTGCTAACCACGCAAGCAGAAAGGGATAAAATGCCTGGGTGTCGTCGTCTTATCACAGTGGGAAGAAGGATGGTGCTAGCAGAGTGACGAGTAGGAGGTGAAGCTGACGTTAGACGTTGCAACTCGTCAGCTGGATGTACCTGCTTCCTGGTGAGTCCTAAATAGCACGAAATGCGCATCCGGGATTCCACTGCTAGCCACTATCCATCATTACTATCATTAGAGCACAGGTAATATCGAGGCATCCATACAGGAGCCCATATACCAATAGAAACCGATCAATTCGGTCCAATGAACGACGGTATGACATAAATACAATTATACTAATTTCATCACTATATTTTGTAACCTGAACTCACCTCTTTATTGTCTATGTTTTCTCAACAATCTCTCAGCAAAACTCAGTGATCTAATTCGACAACTTTATGTTTTGAGGGGGTTGTGGAGATTTGGAAATATTTCAAGTTGTTATTCATCGTGGACTGACATCAGTTGGAGGAACAAAGGAAACCTGGGAGCACTGGACAGCTGTTTCGTCCCAGTATGGGACTCCTCAGCAGTGCGCACCCACGATCCCACCAGCAGGGATCGAACCCGCCACCTTCAGGTTCCGCGGCCAGCGCGTTACCATTGAGCCACTGGGTCAGAATCCAATGCTCCATATTTCCAACTTCTAACCGTAACCGGTGGAGTCAAAGCCTGATGGCAATGAGGACAGATACTCAGCATTGACATTGGGTGGCGGTTGCGCTATATATCGTGAGCTAACAGAAGTTGGAAATATGGACCATTGGATTCTGACCCAGTGGCTCAATGGTGACGCGCTGGCCACGGAACCTGGAGGTGGCGGGTTCGATCCGTGCCGGTGGGATCGTGGGTGCGCACTGCTGAGGAGTCCCATACTAGGACGAGACAGCTGTCCAGTGCTCCCAGGTTTCCTCTGTTCCTCCAACTCATGTCAGTCTGCGATGAATAACAACTTGAAACTTTATGTTTCTCTTTTCCGTCAAATAAATAACTTTAAGAAAATACGTTACATTGTCGTCCATTTCAAATAAAGTGTAAATAAAAAGACCGAATTCAGTAATGAGCAAGATTAAATTCTTATGGGGACTGATGTAATCAGGTGTTGCTATGCGGGTGTATTCCTTACTTCGCATACAAAATATCCATAAAGTATTCTTTTATATTATGATACACAATTGAACTACTTACTTAGTGGTTCTGAATGTTGAACCTACTGAATTCGCTGTATATAGAACCTAAACCACGCATTATATTCTATTTAAGACATCTTGGTTAGATATCTTCTCATTTGTGTTGGTTTTCCTGTGAAGAATCGAAGTGAATACCTATCAAATGTAAAAACAAAGTGATACTATATTTTAATGGCCAGCTCCAATGCAACATGTATAAGTCTACTTACAAGATAGAAATACTGAGTCATTGCAAGTATTTGGGCTTTCCGTATTTCTGCATTAGTATTACTAATTATATATATATATATATATATATATATATATATATATATATATATATATATATATATATATATATATATATAGTAGCTGGGCCTCGATTTCAAGCTTCCTAGGTTTAGTTAACAATTTTTTTACTGAAATGTTTGCTTTTATCAACTTAACGCTGGAAAGAACTGAGGAAAAAGGTTATCTATCTCTAATACTTCCATGAGTTGGGGTTAGATATTTAGGAGGAGTCAGCAGGAAACCCTGAACCTAGATTAAGTGATGGCTTGAATTTGTTGGTAAAGTGTATCTGAAATCATGAAAGAATCAGCATTCTAATCCACATCACATAGTTTTGCAGTTACATATGCTGCCAATGTCTTATTCGAGCTGCAAGTCTAAGTTATTTAGCGATTGTTTCAAGTCATCATTTGAATATCTGCTTTAGTAGCTATTTCTGTCATATATTACCACTTGTCCATCTGACTTGTAGATCAGTAATTTACGATGTTAATATCACCGTTAAATGTTTGTACTTTTTAATGAAGGGAAATCTATATTTCAAATCGGTAATCATTGTAGACTGATATCAGTTGGAGGAACAAATGAAACATGAGACCACTGAGTAACTGTTTCATCCTAGTATGGGGCTCCTCAGCAGTGCGCACCCAAGACCCTGCCATTGAGCCACTGGGTCAGAATCCAATCGTCCATATTTCCAACTTCTGTCAGTCCCACGACATAGCGCAACCGCCACCCAGTGTCAACGCTGAGTAACTAACCTCACGACCATCAGGCTAGCCCTACTTGTCACAACTTCTCATTGGAACTTCGGGAATCACCTCTTGAAGCTAGTCACCAATGAGCAGCAGTATGCACTGCTGAGGAGTCCCGTACTAGGACGAAACAGCTGTCCAGTGCTCCCAGGTTTCTATTGTTTCTTCAACTGATGTCAATCTACGATGAATACCAACTTGAAATATTTCCAAATCCCCACAACCCCCCTAGAAATCTATATTTGTTGATGGTGTAAATACCTAGGCACAAGTATCAGTAAATAACAACTGAAACCCGTTGTGGAAGAGGTGTCTCTTGCATGACAGTGACCTATTGGATAAGCTATGGGTACCCGGTTGTAGTATCACTGGGAACACTATCATTCAGAAGGATGCAGTCACATCAGGCTGATGAACCCTGAACAGGACAAAACGTATGTCTTGGATTCCACCACTAGCCACTAAGTAAACTATACTCAGTCATAAGTTGAGGTCTGTTAGTTGAAAGAAAGCAGTCTTTAGGAAGCCCTCCTTTTTGGCAGTCGTCAAAAAGGCGTATCTGTAACCCTTACGGAACTGACGTTCTGTGTGAGATTCAAACCTACGTCACCCAGTTCTAGATTCAGAGACGTTAGCAGTGAGCTATTCAAGCAGTGACTAATCTCCTGTAGAACTGGATTAGGATGAAGTCTACCAAATTTCAAACTTCAGTCATCCTCAGAATGAAGAATAGAACAAGCGGTACGTCAGTGAGATGTTTTATCATTAAGATATTTCACGGTCAGCCGAACTCTGATTTCATATATCTGATAATTTCAGTTCAGCTTAAATCGTTATTCATTAGATTAGTCACTTTGATGATAGCATTTCTCTCGTACAAATGGAGTTTCAATACTGTGCTTGAACATGATCTCATATGACATTAGTTTATTTAATGTAACACGTACACTTAATCATGGGCGGTTAACAATGCTTGGCATGGCATCCATCAAACACTATATGCTATACCAGATAAACTAATCTAACCTGGAGGCATTTATACCTCCTCTATTCTCTCTCTTATGAATAAAATGTTGACACTTATCATTAGGTTTCATCATTACGGGATGCTAAAATGATTAACTTGGTTCTAAGAATTGACTGATGAAAGATAACCAGACAACGTACTTTAAAAATGAACATATAAGGGCGATCATCAGTAAATATAATAGTACTAATAATAGTAATAATAATATTCATTTTATTCCAAACAATTTTTGGTCCAATTAGGAATTCTCAGCCTGATATATCGCAATACCAACAAAACAACATTTCGAATTGTGTTATTATAGAAATTTTAGTAAAGCAAAGAATATTAATAACGCGAACATTTTACATTCTTATTTAAATTACTGACATGAGATTGTTAACTATTACAAAGTTGATATATGAGTTCTCTTCTAACACTTTTCTCCTCAAATAAGATGAGTGCTAGGTAAGGTATAGTCAAATTATTGAACTTAGCTGTGCAAGCGTACAGTCTTATGCAGTTTCTTCTTGTCCCCCCCCCGGAGGAGATACAAGGAGAGAGAGAGAGAGAGAGAGAGAGAGAGAGAGAGAGAGAGAGAGCTGTGAATGAAGTGGATGCTCAGTGTCAATTATAATAAGTGTAGCTAGTTGCTTGCTGAAATTTAAATGTCAATCAACTACAGTGTTAATGAGTTGAAGCACAGGCATGGCACTCACTCTTCTAATGACTTTCAAAGCCCTACCCAATATAACATAGTCCTTTGGTAGA